CACACACACACACACACACACACACACACACGCACACACACACACCTGACTAGATGTCTTGAAAAACTGAAGGTGCATAGGCTATACAATGTTCGCTCTCTCATGAACATGTACAATGTACATGAGAGAGAACATAATTTCCGATCAAGTGTCCACCAGATACAAGTACATGTACATGTACATGTACATGTACTTGGAGCGTTTGCTGACAAACTGAACTACACTGCTGGCAATTGTAGTTCCCTGCGGGCTGTGGTCGTCCATTGCATTTTACCCCAGTGTCCCCAGTATCACATCAGTAGCGTCTGCTAAAAATGCATACAGTCATGTACTTGTACATGCACGGTGGACCAGCACCGGCATAGTCAAGAGACGGCTTTGTTCTCATTACAGCAAGTAAGTATGCATTGTGCCAGTGCAGAGAACATGAATCACAAAGTCTACGTTTCTGCTTTAATTAAAATGAATTAATCACGTTTATCGTCAGCTGGTTCGCCTACTAAGAGCACAGCGCACATTTACTTGTGTTTGGGAGTAGCAACTGTTTCCGCTTAGGCTAATGTTATTGTGGCTCCGCGTGGCAATTAATTGATGGACATCCGCTCCGAGTTCCGCACTGCTTTTACTTCCAAGTAAGTGGCGTTCCCAAGAAAGTTATAGAAAATCCCGGTCGGTGAATAATGCGGGTGCCGAGCCTAGGACTACCTACTGGGTACATAGTGGTTCAGTTCCTGCTCTACCTAAAATTGCCACACGTGTGCCTATACTATAGCTATGGCATGGCGTGACAAAGGGAGTCTGCGCTATGTGAGACCCCTAGCAGCACCCTGACTCAGCGAAGAGGATTCTCATGTTCGTACTGCTCCGCGGCCCGGGTAGAATATAATCATTGCCGGAAGCGTGGCCCAGTTTGTCCGCACGGTATCAATGCGTAGTCGAATGACTATGTCACCCTTGCTGTGGAGTCGAGTGTGGACCCTGTGGTGTTCTCACATCTCCGACTGTGATCGCCTGTGTACTGTGTTGACAAAAATAATGACTGTATGACTGTATACCTGTATCCCCTAAGCCTTTAAAATTAGTATCTGCTACATCAGTACATGTAATGATGTATGTCATCTGCTTATGGTTTCAACCATACATTGTATTATGACATACATCATTACATGTACATGTAGATGTGCACAATCACTGTGTGTACATGTACAGATGTGGTTGTATTCAGTTGTACATGCATAGTGCCTTGTACATTGTACATTGTAGTGGTTTTGTCATCCTTTGTCTTTGACTGTCCAATACTCAAGAGGCTTTACTTCTGATGGCCTCCTACAGTATACTACAGTCCTGGCAACTGAAATCCGACCACGTAGCGATGCGTTCACATTCTAGCGCCGACTAGCGGTCTCTACTGTCGTAGTTTTACTATCCCGTGTTGGGTCTTTGCGATGTGAGCGCACCGCTCAGGGGGTCGGATTTCAGTTGCCAGCACAGTATAGGAAATGGTAGCAGCAGGTGCTCAAAGGATTGCCTGCATCAGTATACGTACACATGTACATACTGTACATAATGTTATGTACATGACATGTATACATGTCATGTACATAACATTATGTACATGACATGTGTACAGTGGTCCCTCTATAATCCGGCACCATTTGTGCCACGAAAATCTGCTGGATTAGGGAGGGTGCTGGATTAACAAATCTGATTTACTGCTGCAATGTGCATGAAGAGGACATTTTGGCTACTGAAAATTGTGCTGGTTTATCGAGGGTGCTGGATTATAAAGTGCCGGATTAGAGAGGGACGACTGTATATACATGTATGTCATGTACATGTATGTACATAATGCATAGTGTGTAATTTTGTTGTTTTTGAACTGCAAAAAAAAAAAAAAAAAAGCTTGCAGAAGAACCTTGACTACCAGTCACAGTGCTCGATACACAATAAAATAAATACTACTACTACTACTACTACTACTACTACTACACAGCGTGCAGAGCCTAGTACATACGAAATTCCGGTGGAACAAAAAGTGATCACTTTTTTGTTCCACCAGATTTTCGTGTGTAATGCATAGGTTGGTGTCATTCGCACTAATGCGAATTGGCCCTGCTACCAGGTCCAGGTACCCATCGAGTCCTCCCAGTACTGGCAGTAGTACAGACGCTCTGGATGAAGTGGAGTGGAGAGGGTCTTGCATGTCCGTAGACGCTCTGGATGAAGTGGAGTGGAGAGGGTCTTGCATGTCCGTAGACGCTCTGGATGAAGTGGAGTGGAGAGGGTCTTGCATGTCCGTAGACGCTCTGGATGAAGTGGAGTGGAGAGGGTCTTGCATGTCCGTAGACGCTCTGGATGAAGTGGAGTGGAGAGGGTCTTGCATGTCCGTAGACGCTCTGGATGAAGTGGAGTGGAGAGGGTCTTGCATGTCCGTAGACGCTCTGGATGAAGTGGAGTGGAGAGGGTCTTGGATGTCCGTAGACGCTCTGGATGAAGTGGAGTGGAGAGGGTCTTGGATGTCCGTAGACGCTCTGGATGAAGTGGAGTGGAGAGGGTCTTGCATGTCCGTAGACGCTCTGGATGAAGTGGAGTGGAGAGGGTCTTGGATGTCCGTAGACGCTCTGGATGAAGTGGAGTGGAGAGGGTCTTGCATGTCCGTCCAGTGCTTGTTTATGCAGTGCCTGAGCGTGCGCTGTGTGCTTTATCGCACGGCTCTGCTGCAGCATGGATACTACACGGTAGAATTTTATTAGTTTTATGGTTAGAACTGCAAAACGTGTACATGTACAGGTATATACAGGAAATGGCCAGGGCTGGGAATTGTCTTTTTTTTCTTCATGTTTTCAAGTCTTGGTATTTTCACTATCCACCATCACATACCACATGCAGTGTACCAGGGTGAAACATTGATTGCCTGTGCTGACTGCTAGCATGCTGGTCAAGTCTCAAAATCTGAAGTACAAACCGCGGGTGCTTTCGACATGCAACCAATCAGATTATCAGTATCTACTGTAGTAGATACATGTACATGCGCAGCAGCAGCCTGATTCAGTGATTGGACGTGGTCATAGATTCCTCATGAAACAAGTCAAAGGTATGGGCAAAAACTGTGTGTGTGATTGGGGATTTCCACTATGTCCATGTCAGAAATGCATTCTTCAATACTGGCACTGAATTGAAGGCTCGGGTCGGTCTGGATCGAATCAGACAACTCTGGCATGTGCCTTTGGCCATTCTACCTCCCCTGGTATTATATTGGCGGTCATATCCTTTCATGTACTACAAGTAGTAGTAGTAGTAGTAGTAGTAGTAGTAGTAGTAGTAGTAGTAGTAGTAGTAGTAGTAGTAGTTGGCTGTTGGCTGTTGGCTGACGTGATGCGTGAGGCGGTCCGGGATGTGGAGGTAGAACCGCCTCTACTACCATATGATGGTGAGCGGCTCCAAGGGAGGACAGCCAACCGCTCGGCAGGTGCCCGCCTGGACATCCGGGCTTGTGGCTTCTGGACGAGACAGCAAGATGCCTTTTTCGACATCCGGGTTACACACCCAAAGGCAAGCTTGCTGTCGCGTCAGGAAGTCATCAGCCAGCTCCGAACGCATGAACGGATGAAGAAGCGCCAGTACGGAGAGCGGGTGACAGCAGTTGACAGAGGTACGTTTACACCGCTAGTTTTTTCTACCTCGGGCATGATTGGCAGAGAATGTTCAATGGCACTGAAGACACTGGCATGCCTGATTGCTGAGAAGAACGTCGACCTACACGTATCGGTTATCATGGGTCAGCTCCGTTGTAAGCTGTCAGTCTGCCTTATGCGATGGGCAGTCACCTGTTTGCGTGGTTCAAGATCGTCATACCGCCGCAACAGGATGAATTTCACGACGATGTGCAGGTTGCGGGCAGCCTGAGCGTGATAGTACCTGACAGACATTTGCCCAACATTGCCCCATGATAATGAATTCTTGAGTTTTTGGACATTGTATTGCATTGCTGCTCCATCTACATGGCTGTATTTGTGTTTCACATCTCCATTTCAAGTTTCCTAATAAAGATTGTGTCAAGTAGTAGTAGTAGTAGTAGTAGTAGTAGTAGTAGTAGTAGTAGTAGTTGCAGCTTGGAGCTTGACTACCCCCGGCCCTGGCCCCAGATCACGGATAACGGTTTCCCTGGTCGAGCTCGCCTTTGACTTGTCTAATACAGTGATCGGATTGATGCGTTTCTTATCCGGGTATAGGCCGGTACAGGGTATGCACACACACACACAGTATCTTGAGTGGTCGCAAGTGGCATGTAAAAACGTAAGTGGGTTTCGTATAGGCGCAGCTCGCAAGTTGTCAGCCAGTGAAAGCGAATCGTGCACTGTGAACAGAACATACATGCCGCTCGCATTTCCTCCTGTGCCTCTTTGCCGGTCCGCCAATTGTGTTTGAAGCCATCCTCAAATGATTTCCGTGTGCAAACTACTTCTTGGGCAGCCACTGCGGACTCGACTGGCATGAGCCGTCCCCGGATTTCCAGAGCCAGGTGTGTTTGAGAGGGTACGTGTCAGAAGGCAAGTGAGCACGGTCGGAAACGCATAGTGTGTTTGGTCAAGGGGCAATCATAACAATACAAAATCAGTTCGTGTCTCGACTATTACTGTGCGTTGCACGGAAAGGACAGGGTCAGGGGTTTCGGGGTGGGCGGTGCCCGCGTCACACGGATACCCTCTCGTCCCAGTCTCGATCATGTTCTCGACACCATACCGAAAATTGCAGACACTACGATAGTGCGCGAAGTACATGTTGTGTGCAGATGCGGATATTGACAGCACACACTTCGCTTCTTCCGTGCCCCGGACAATGCCTGCTTCGCCCTTCATCCTGGTACATGGTCCGCTCAGCCACTCTTACTAATGCATCATGCACACAGCAAAGTACCTGTTAGCAGTGGTTAGGCTGTAGAGTCTTTACACGATTGTAGAGGACTACTAGTACTACTAGCACTACCCGCCTGTCTCGCAGCCTGTCTCGCAGCCTGGCAATGCGCACACAAGTGCCTTTATAAACCAACGCGAACCTCTTGAGCTCATCAGTCTTCTCAACTCTCAACCCTCCATCATCATAGGACGACGGAGCTGTCGAGGAGAAGGAGAGTGGAGACGAACCAGAGCAAGGTAAGCCTCAAGAGTCATTCGATTCCCTTCCCCCCCCCCCTCCCTTAAACTACACTAGTACTAGAATGGGTAGGTAGAAGAAGCCGATTTGTATGCATAATATACTTCGTACGTGCACAGGGAAAGTTACATGTATGCGGCGCGAATCGGTTACTTGTAGTCATTACCATTTGGTTTGCCGACCGGTAGCCAGCTGGCACACGGCCATTGTCGGAGTGTTTTCTTTTGAAGGTCCTTGTCACCAGACAGAAAGGACACAGGCTGCTTACATTGTAGTCCCTGCACTGGTAGAGGGGGAGGGGGGTGAATGGGTCCTAGTCGCGTTAAAAACTCTCAGACAAGTGCGTTGTGTGCGGCGTTTCGGAGCGCAGAGCTGATCGCTTGTTCTCTTTGAAATCCGTGCTTCTGTGTGGAATCGCAAGTTCTTGAAATCTTCACAGTATGATAGATCGCGATCGTACACCATTATGTCCACCGATCCTGATGCCTATTGTTCTTTACCAGTAGAATGAAGAGTCAAGACCCGTGTATAAGCATAATTATTACTACAATGTAGTAGTGACTGGAGTTGCGGTCCTCGGAGAACAGGAACTGTAGTTACGGTCTAACGGCTAGTGGAGTGTACTCGGTGCAGTGACCCACTAGCCGTCTAGGCTCGCCAGTGATCACACTAGTACTGTCATGATTGAGACTCGCTGATACTGACCTGACCTGACCTGGGGACTTCAGGAGTTCTGTGACCCTGCATGGGGAAGGTGACTCTGGAAACCTCGTGCCGGTATCAAGGCAGTGCAGCAGCGCTGCTGCCTCTACCGAGTTAACGACGCTGCGAGGCTACCATTACCGTTGCAAGATTCGGGTCGCTATTGTATAATAATGCATTACTTATTGTACATGAGCATGAACATACAGTGTTCATATAACTATAACTACAGTACATGATTGTACATGTGCCTTGTACTACCAGGGTAATACCCCACTTGCTTACATGTCTATGATCGCCAGTGAAAATTAATACTGTTGACTTAGCATACTAGTACATAGCATACAGCGCGGCCACTGCCATCCAGAAACGGTTGCTGCAGAAATTTGCAAATCTTGATTGATTGGCCACTGACATAGAAGACATGATGACTGATAATAATGCTTACGTGCGCGGCGAAATTAAGACGAAAATTGTCGATGCTACAGGTTGTCGATGCTACAGGAGTGCGAACTTAGATTTGGAGACCTCCCACATTCCCGGGCTACGTAATCATTGTAACCATATTGTAACCGTATTGAAGTCCTTTACTCATTCACTCCGTAGTACTACAATCACAGCACCAACACTGGAAATGTGACGTGATTGCTTAATTTAATTAATCCGATTTACAAGCATTAACCCTGTGGTCGGGGAAGTCATTTTGACCCTGCAATCTTCATGACTGTTCAATCATACTACTACTGGACATGTACACTGTACACTGTACGGTGTACGGTGTAGAAGTATCGGGCATGTACAGTGTATAGGTATGTGTGCGCTGTGCCATGAATTCCAGGGCAGCCCCCCCCCCCCCGAACAAGTGATTGCTAGATTGCACCATAGGGGAAGATAATTTTAACCACTTTATTGAGCCGTTCCTATGGCAAACAAAGGGAGCGACCGGCATGGGAAATCTGTGTGTGTGTGTGTGTGTTGAAAAGTCAGTGCGAATGGGTCAAGTGCCCGTGGAGTGCGGTCCTTGGCGGAAGAAAAGGAGTGACGCTTGGGAACTGACTAGTCACCCAATGGAGAACGTGCCCTCCAGAAAGATCTGCTTCTCCAGTAACCCCGGCAATTAGTACAATCACTTAGTACTTACTAGTATGTGACCACTATACCATGACTGTACATCATCATCATCATGTATGATATACACTAGGTATGCGTAAATCAGACCTAACACTGTAATACCAGTACCGACAATAACGCTAACAAGTAACAGCATTACGCCACAGGTCAGTAAGTGGGCAATCTTGCCAGGGCTGAAAGTTCAGGGCTCACAGTCGGTATGCAGGATCGACAAAAGCGTCGTGCGAGGGCGGGTTTGGTGCACGTGAGTCGCGTGACCCCACGAGAGCACGATCGTGTACATCCTACGCATCCCAACAGAACAAAGAAGAGAAAGAACCTTGGCTTGAGTAGCCTGTTCTTGTCTTGCAGAGCCGATGTTCGCGATATTTTGGTCGGACCTGTCCTTTCCTCGCCTTCTCTTGGCATGCAGTGTCAAACCATTCTCGTTTCCGTTCGTCTCGATCTTGTGCTTTTACGATCGTGCATACTCCAGTGGAAATAGTTTGCTTTATTATTTGCACTGGGAATTGCACTGCAACACTGAACAGTTACTGCCAGCCCTCGGCAACGACTTGCCTTTCACTGTGCCTTGTAGAATTGGTCCACCGAAGGAGAAGGCGACAGGCAACCTGTGCTAGTCCCAGGAAATTCATGTCATGTAGCCGCTGTTCGACCAAATGCTGATGCTACAATGAGCGATCGCGATGTTCCACAGGTAAGAAGACAAACAAACGAGTCAGAGCTCGCCAGGCAGGTAACGCCGAGAACATACCACACAGAGCTGCTGATCGGATGGAGGCGAACGGGACCAGCAAATCCGCCAGGCGTTAGTTGAGGGCCACTGAAGGCCAGGTTTCCAGAGGTACCAGTTCCTCCATGATGGCGAAATGCGCTGCCACAAGAACTCCAGCGAGAACGAAAGCACAGCAACCAACTCCGCGGGCGAACTGAGGAGAGAACACTGAAAAATCTGTGCGCAATGATTTTCTGTTGGACGGCGCGCGCGTTGCTGTTCCGCTGCATGCATGCGTTTTTCTTGTTGTTTGATCTGGTGCTGCTTTTGCACTTTTGGCGTTCTGCGCGCTGAGTGGCACTCACTCAAAAATGTCCACTACATCTCATTCTTGGCGGATTTTGATCATCTATGGCTTATTTTTTTCAGCGTGGAATTCTCCAGACATTTACCGATCACTTTTCCGATTGCTGTGCCGAAATCGAAGCCAAAACGACCAGACTTTGGCTAATCCGTGCCGGAAAACTGGAGGGAAAATGGTGAAACGCTGCGGTAGATCACTGAGTTTGGGGGTTTTGAATCAGCATAGCGAATCCCAGCTTCGTGGACATCAGGGCCGATGTAGTGGACTAGATCAAAGATTTGAGAATAGAGGAGAATAGAGGCCTGTGATTGGTCAGTTGTCATCACGTGACATCCGCGCAAAGCCGTGCGCGACTCGACGCTTTTGTATTGGACTGTGAGCCCTGAAGTTGACGGGCGACTTGCGATTTTCTTCCAAGCGGAAATCAACATAGTCGCAACCCTCTCAGGACGCCACTTGTGCTGCACAGGGTAGTTGCGCAATTAGCAATCATGTTTGCATACTGCCTTACTGGACTTGTTGTATAGGACGATAACTCAGCGTGTTGGAGTGCATGTCTATCTGCGATCACACCATCACCTACACGCTGAGTCATCCTCATATCCAACAGGTCTAGTATATTCAATAGCCTACTACTACAAGAAGTACTGTCCAAAATATCCCCGTAGAAGAAGGCGACATAGGGAAGGGAGGGATGGGTTACGGACATGGAGGATGGTTTTCGAAAACCCTATATTTTTACTGATAGTCTGGGGGCGTTGTGGATGATGGAATTCAGCTCATTACGTTTAGGAAGGGAAGAGCAGGGGAATATTGACTTTCTCGATCAATAAGGTTACCGGCAGCATATGTGCGTCTCCCGTCATCCAGTCTCTCTCTTTCTCTCTCACTGCCTCTCCCTCACGATCTCCCTCAATTTTGATGTATTTGTGTCTTCACCTCGTTCCTATATTCATGCAGTATAATATCAACATTGTAGGACGTCAGAGGACGGCGGCAGACGTCATAATGAGAGCTATTCTATTACTGGCCTTGGCAGCCACTGCGTGGTCGCAGAGAATTCTATTCGACGATGAACAGGGAGAATGCGTTTCCGATACGTTTGACACCTCACCGCTGAAGTTCGATTTCCAACTGGATGCCGCCAGCATCGCCGCCATCATCGCTGCCACACCAGGCGGGTACGTGACGTCACACATCCCAATTACGAAATCATTTTTTGAGTTTGACAGTGTTGATTTTTCCAAAAACTGTTTCTTGGTTGTCAAGGTGATCAGGTGTTGTGTGTAGCGTTGTCATACATTTTTTAGGGCTTGAAAGACTAAGTTAGTGATCCAGCACATCCAGGAAATGGCAGTTGAGTGATCGTCTGGCTTGACTCCACCCATCCTTCATTGAGCTATTTCTGATACACGTAGCTACACGTAATTTGTCATCTCGCTGTAGTGTACCACGACGATACTAGTCCAGTGTAGTTGTCACGTCACAGAAGAAAGAGTGCAGGAAACATGCCGCATTTTTTATTCCATTTTTCGACTTTTATGTTACTTTCGAACTCTGCAGATCCATTGGACGCAACGTTGAAGGTTTCGGAATTGCTGTCCCCACAGCCAGCAACTCTGACACAAGCGTTTCTTTCGGTGCAAGAGGCAGAACTCTGCGACGTCTCACCCCCAACGCATACGCGGATAACCTTGACGTCCCCAGAGGTGAGCGATTCCATTACACGGTATTATGGATTCATGATTAAATTTTTCATGTTTTGCAAGGACGTCACCGGTTTTGCAAACTTGTCACGGAGACCCACTCGACTGCACTGCACTGCACTGCACTGCACTAGTAATGGTAGTCCTAGTACTGTCAGTGCTACTAGTGCTGTCTTTCTAAATAACACGACTGATTGTTATTGCACAATGTCATGTTCTTGGTTTAGCTTTTGGCCTTTTTCGTGCTTTGGAGTTAATTGTTGTTTTTGGAGAAAAAAACTTTGATGGTTTTGTTGACTAGTACTGTCAGTGCTGCTCAATGAAATCCAGTCTCAGCACTCAGGTAAGTTTGCGCCTTGCACCACTTGGCAGGCCAGTGACAGTGTTCGCACGTCTGGGGCTGCGTGCTTGAGTGACGCGACTGGATTTCCCTGAGCAGGCCTGTAGTACTGGTGCCGAGATGCTGCCAAGCGCCAACCGCCGTGGACATAATACTGTAGTACGTTTCTGTTCAGCAGTAACCATGGTGACAGGAACCCTACAGTGGCCTATTACTGTCGTCGCTCCTGGACAGCATTATGCGTGTGCTGCTGTCTGTGCAGCCTTTCAATGTGTCCCCCCGTCATTGTATTGTTGGACCCCTGAGGTTGCCACAGCATCCACAGCATCCAGTCTTGGTACCCATCTCTCTCACTCTCAAACACACACAATCACACACTCAGTCTCCTCTCAGTACCGAATTCATCACCTGGTGATGTCCTTCGTTTGGTAAGGCATTATACGATCTCGTATGTGTTCACTTCTTTACACCCGATTGCAGGAACTTGCCTTGAGGACAGCGATGGCAACTTTGTGGGGGTGTGCCTGGATCAGAGGGCTAACAAGCGTTCCGATGGCACATTCGCCGGTTCCAACCTGCCCAACCCACGTACCATCAGCGAGGTCGTCAGTACCAGCACTGGTGTGATCGCCAGTCGCCGCAACCTGCACGATCTCACTGGACACTTTGGTCAGGTGAGTCAAGAGCAAAAAAGTCAGCATCTGCGAGCGCCAGTTGCTGCTGCTGCTGTCGCCGTCGTCGCCGTCGTCTTCGTTGATGTTGCTGTTGATGATGCATTCTACTAATGTCTATAATGAAGAAGACGACCTAGGAACTACAAGTTATGCTCTAATGTCCACTAATGCTAGCAGTTACTTGACAGCCAGCAAGACAGTGCTCATGCTGACGGCGCTTGGCTTTCCATACAAGTCTATCATTCCATGTTTCTTCCTCTCTATTGCGTTGCTGTGCCGTGTTGTTCAGTTCTTGGCTCATGACACTACGTTGGTGCCAGAGGGTGGACCTGACGATCAGTTTGATATCGTTGTGCCAGAGGTAAGAGATTCTGCTCATTTCATTTTCAGTTCATTACGTTTTATTGATTTTCCAAAGGCAAATAGATTCCTACCAGGGCCAGGGGAATATCAACGGTGGGAATACCTGTATGTAAAAATATGTGAAACATTGTTGTGCCTTGTGTGGTACACTCTGCCCTTGTTACCGCATTGTGCACTATGTTGCTGTAAGGACCTCAGACACTTTGTGTACGTAAAAAATGGAAATGTTGAAGGATAGTTCTAAAAGAGGGAATGGCGTTTAAGGTCGTGCACTGTTGCTGAGCCTGCACTGCACCGACACAATGCAAAGGCTGAAATACTGATCCAGTTTGCCGAGGTCTCTTGTCAGTGTTAGCCCAGGCGTTAGGAGACCCTGATCCAGGAATCCAGGATGTGCTGACATTGGACTGATGAACTTGAATGTCCTTATAGGGACAGTAGTAGGGTGGTTTTATAATTCTTGTCATGTGACTCTGTTCTCCGTGTTGTCAGGGTGATCCAGTATTTGATCCTGAAGGTACAGGCGAGCAGCTGATGGGATTCCGTCGTGCCATCCGTGAGCTAAGGTATGTATTTGTATTTGTATTAGATTCTCCACGGTATGTACACCAGAGAAGTCTGATAGGACAGCACGCAGGAAGCAGCAAAGTGTACCCACTATCCAAACGTACTTATTCCTACACCCTTTACTCTGCACCAATGCACCGCATACACATAGAATATGTTGTGACGATGCCCTGCTCCGCACTGCCCTACCGACCTCTTTACTCTAGTCTGTTGTAAAACAAGAGAGGTAAAGTTGTGCATCCGCTTTACCTCCGGCTATACTATTTCTCCGCTCTGTTGTGACGATATGTTCCGCTGCGTTGTTCTAACAACACAATACTGTGCATTGCTGTGTTATAGATGTACCGGTTCTAACAATACAATACTGTGCATTGCTGTGCTATAGATGTACCGGTTCTAACAATACAATACTCTGCATTGCTGTGTTATAGATGTACCGGTTCTAACAATACCATACTCTGCATTGCTGTGCTATAGATGTACCGGTTCCAATCCCCGTGGTACACTCATCCCACCGACAGACGCCGAGCGTCCACGTGAGCACAACAACGAGATCTCCAGCTTTATTGATGCCACCATGATCTATGGCGGTACTAACGGACGTGAGGCTCTGCTGCGATCCAACTCTCCATCCAGACCAGGACAACTGAGTGTCAGTGCTGGAAACCTGCTGCCGGTAAGGGACCATCCGGCATTGTTGATAAGTTTCACGAAACGAAAAAAAGTACAGCTGGCTTTTCCCATTTGTATTGAATATTTAGTGTTCACTATGAACACAGTCCTGCTGGGAAATATGTGGATGTGGATGACATCATGGATGTGAATGACATCATAAAACAAGACAAACGGGGATGTGGGGACGACGTGCCAATGTACTGAGAGCAACTCGACCGACCAGAGGTCTCGGTGGTTGGCGTTAAGATGCTGGTGCGGGTGGCTGTGTTTCTGGGTTTGAGAAATCCTTCTGTCCCCCTCCATTCCTTGTTTCTGCAAGTCTTACCTTTCATCCGCCTCCACCCCCCCCCCGCCCCCCCGGTTGTATTTTAATCTATTTAAAAAAGTTAAACCTGATCACAGTTTGGAGTTTGAGCATATACTTCTAAACTACACTGTCACATTGTCTGTTGAGATCAGAATGCCAGCAGTGTCTTTTTACTCCTTTTTGTAGTGAATCTTCATTTCATTTCTTTTCTTTTCTTTTCCTGCTCTGTTCTCTTTAGTAGCACACGGTACTAACACACCGAATGGGTTTGTATGCCTCCGTGTGTGTATGTGTGTGTGTGTGTGTGTGTGCGTGTGTGTGCGCGTGTGTGTGTGCACGTGCATGCGTGTGTGTGTGCGTGTGTGTGTGCGTGTGTGTGTGCGTGTGTGTGTGCGTGTGTGTGTGTGCATTTGTGTTGTACTCACTGTGTAGTTCAACACCTTTCCCGCGAGCAATGACGCCAACCAGGACAATCCCCGCGGTGTTCCCAACGGTGAGCAGTTCTTCGGTGGTGACGTCAGAACAAACGAAGCACCCGGCCTTTCTCTCCTCATCACGATTTTCGTCCGCGAACATAACCGCCTGGCCAAGCACCACGCTATCTTCTTGAAGAAGTTGGGCAAAGTTGTAAGTTTGAATAGTTCTGCCGACTGACAACGATACAGGGTTACCTTTCTCCTGTGATTTTTCACTTTGGTGTCTTTAAAAATAATGATATGAGCAGGTTGCATATTGCTCGCGTAAACAATGTACGTAGCACTTCTTGACATTGTGAAGATCTCTGCTTGAAAAATGCCTTGAGAGAGAGAGAGAGAGAGAGAGAGAGAGAGAGAGAGAGAGAGAGAGAGAGAGTCGATCCTTCTTGAATGGAGGTCATGCTAGTTTTGTCAACAGTTGTGTAGTCATGATCTGTTTTGTTTGAGGAACTTCCACACCATACATTCAGTTGCTGAGATATCGAAACATTCTCTGGTCCACTGTTTGCCTCTGTTCTCTAGGTAAAATCTGATGTTGTGTTCGCATGGGCCAAGAATATGCTCATTGCTGAGCTTCAGAACATTGCCTATAACGAGTGGCTGCCCGCTCTGTTTGGCGAGGAGTTTGAGGAGTTCACGGCGCACGACCCTACCATCCAGCCCGACCTCTTCGCGGAGTTCTCAGCTGCCACCCGACGGTTAGTATTGCACATATGTGCACCCCCCCCCCCCTACCATGGGCACCCCCGTTACCATGGGCTAGGCCGCATGTATGTGCACCCCCCCCCCCCTCCCCCTAGTTACCATTTACTGGACGGCATGTATGTGTGTATCCCCTAGTCGACATCGTCTGTTTTGCATGTACAGTAGAACCTGTGACTAACGACCACCCCTAGGGACCAGAAAAGCGGTCTTTAGTGGCAGGTGATCCTGAGTTAGAGGTTTGCACCGCACAGCCATATATGAAATGTGAGACCGTGCGTGCCTGGTGAAGTGGTCTGTAGTACCAGGCTGGCCGATAGTCACGGTGGTCTGTAGTACCAGGCTGGCCGATAGTCACGGTGGTCTGTAGTAGCAGGCTGGCCGATAGTCACGGTGGTCTGTAGTTACAGGTTGTACTGTATGCCCCCCCCCCCCTAGTCAAGACTTCTCTGTATTGCATTGTATGTTATCTCGCAGTTGTTCGACACTGTGCACTATTGCTGAGTGTCCCCTAGTTGACGTTGTCTGGTTTGCATGCATGTGGCTCCTCCAGTCGACATCGTCTATGCACTGTGTGATGTCGGTAAATTGAGGCTTTATTCGATATTTTTGCTCCAGATTTATTCCCTTTCCAATCCATCAAATTTATGAATGATCCTATTTTCCAAATGATGACAAGAGTTTCCTGTGATGTAAGTCTTGCCTGTGAATGTTGTGCTCCGGCCGTGCAGATTCGGTCACTCGCTCATCAACGGATTCATCCCCGTTGTCCTGGGATTCAACAAACTGCGTGGCTGCCATCGCGCTGATCTTGCTACACATTTGTTCAACGTAAGACACCAGCTGGGAATAGGCGACAGTGTATGTGTGTGTGCATGCGTATGTGTGTGTGTGTGTGTGAAGAGAGAGAGAGAGAGAGAGAGAGAGAGAGAGAGAGAGAGAGAGAGAGAGAGAGAGAGAGAGAGAGAGAGAGACACACACACACACATACACACACGCATATATACGCACGCACATACGCATAGACTGTTTATTACACATACACACACATGGTCACACACACACACACACACACACACACACACACACACACATACACACACACGCACACACACATACACACACACCTGGTCCTGGTCCTGGTAAACACTGCCATTACGGTCACGTGTCCCCTCGTGGGGCCGACAACATGGAAAACGACGCGCGACGGCAGAAAGTCGGCAGTCTGCCGAGAGATCAGGGACCATGTTCAATCGGCACGACGAGAGAGCCATCTTCGACAGCTATGGATTGGGAATCCACGAGTAGAGCGGCAGCACCGGCCACAGGCCCCGCAGTGATCCTTGCAGCATGAGAGGGCGAGCCGCACACGCGGCGGCGGAGGAGTCGCCTGAGCAGCAATGGTAGACACCGCCCCCCCCCCCCCCCCCACACACACACTCCCTCTCTCTTTTCATACCTGTCATCTGAATATTCAGCTACACGTATCCCACCACAGTACAGTAGACTTAGAAGACTTAGTCATGATAGCTGAGCTGGAGTCCGTATCCTGACACATATCCATATACATGACTGTGGGTCCGTTGTCTGTTTTCCGCCACAGACGGTGGCACTCATCAACCGTCAAGATGGTGGTATTGAGCCTATACTCCGTGGCATCCTCTGCATTCGCTCTCAGCAAATGGACACAGTGGTAAGAAAGTGCATTGAGTTGCACAAGTTTATTCTCTGTGACCTGAATTTCTTTACACACGATTCTTTTTCCAAGCAGGCAGGCATAGTGGGATGGTCTAAAACCATGATTGAGAAACAGAGGGTTCCAGGTTCAAGTCCTGCTTGGAAGCGGAAGGAATTTTACAGCCGTGCTGCGACCCACAGTTAATTGGGAACTCGTGGCTGGCACGAGGGAAACATGGCTGCAGTGAATGGGATTTCGGTCTTTGACCACTTTGTGGTGGGTCTGATCTACTCACCTCCCACCGCTTAGGAGCTGCATCTGCGCCTTGATCCAAGAGGGTGGTGGCGTTCCTGCGGATGCGGAAAACTGGGCCTTTGGCCTAATCTCACGCGAACCGTGAATTTTTTTTCCAAGTCCCTTATAAATTGTCTAGGAGTTTAACCCACCGCCTTTGCTACCTGGGTTTAATAAGTGTCTGTATAACAGAAATCAGGGCAATGTATGAGTTTGTGTGTTCATGAATGCGTCCGGGTGTGTTTGTATGTGTGTATGTGTGTGTGTGTGTGTATGTGTGTGTGTGCATGTGTGCATGTGTGCTTCATCTCCAACAGGTCACCCCAGGTCTGCAGCAGCGTCTGTTTGCCGCCGAGGAGGGAGAGGCAGAGCGTGACTTGGTGGCACTCAACATCATGCGTGGCCGTGAGCACGGTATTGCCGGTTACAACGAGATCCGTGTTGCCCTCGGTCTGGAAAGTAAGCACTCTTTTTCAGAACCAACAAATTGTTCCTTGATGTTGTGTATGTGTGAGAAAACTATGACTGCACGGATTTTGTATAGCCATTTTGCAATTTCATCTCCCTTCCAACACATTATATTATTATTTATATTTTTGTTTACAAGACACACAGCTCACTGGCAGGCACCTGGGGCTAGCATGGGGTTCGAAGGTGCTGGTGGTGCCTGCCATGTTAACCTGTCTCAATCTCAGCTTTGTGTTTAGGACACGGAGAGTTGTTCCGAGTGCTAGCGGCCACAGTGTCTTCTCTCAGAAACAAAAACGACAATTCACTTCATCTAAAGGTTTTTCTTGAACACCATTATGTCTCCTAGGTGGCCTTGGGCAAGTCTATGGTTGAGTGTAGATGTATGCATAATCATAGTTGCGGCTCTACTGGTACACATGAAGGATTGAAAACATCATATGCTGCTTTCTCATGATAATCGCAGTGTGGAATGACGCCAATGTCTGACACCTAGTGTATGTGTGTGTCTGTCCACGTGCGTGTTTCCTCCAGAACTGACCAAGTTCAGTGAGATCAACCCCGCCGACCCCGAGCTTGTCCGTAGGCTCGTACTTGCCTACGGTGGCAACATCGACAATATTGATCTGTTCATCGGCGCCCTTGCTGAGGCACCAGCCGCAGTGGAACACGGAGAGGGACATGCTGAGTTTGGAGAAACCTTGAGAGCGTAAGTATCCACACCGAATCCGGTATACCATTGATGTGCTTACATGGAGCGGCAAGGGGTGTTGTTCATCATGGTGATGGTGTACTTGCAGTGGTATCATGACAATGACGTCATGTGCAGAACTCGCAGACTGATATCGATCAGGACTTTTCAACAGAGTCCAGTCACAGCTATCCTGCTATCTCGTTTATTTCTGCAATAACTCTCATGTGTGTCTGCTGTTGCGCTGGTCTGTCTCTGCAGTATGTTCAAGCTTCAGTTCCGCAACATTCGCAACTCTGACAGCAGATTTTTCAGCCTGGCAATGACCAGCGCTTCCAAGAAGATGCTGCCCTCGTTCGGTGACATCATCCGCCGCAACTCGCGCGTCTACCCCGCAAACCTCTTCCCCAGCCACTCCATCTTCTTCCACCCTCTGTTCTGCCGCGCAGTCCGGGAGTTCCAGTGTGTGCCACGCAGCAACCGCAAGGAACATCTGTAAGTTCATGCGCTGACGTGCTTCAATGTCATTTTGTCTCTCATGATATCTGGGTGTGATGCGTGCATTATCTGGATATCTGGGGTGTGATGCATGCATTATCTGGATGGCACATGCATTTGAAAGCTGCTTACAATGGGATGACTCGTTGCCGGTTCATGGGAGTTTACCTTTTCCTTGGAGCCAACATGTGCCCTTGTGAAAGTTCTACAGCTTTCCCATGGACAATCCTTGGTGTGTAGCCTGCTTGCTAAATATTTTGAAATCAGATGAAAGTAGTGTCAAACAGGTCAATTGCAAGCATAAAATATATAATTGGAGGAGGCTCATAATGTTAGAACTCCAGTTGGAAATAAACGAGCCTCCTTGTAGCATCTACACACACTGCGCTAGCACAGCAGAGTCAGAACATTTTCTTTTAAATCATTTGTTGAAGTGTTCAAATCCATGGCTACTGCGTAGGCACTATGTTATCTGAGAAAGATTCCACTGTGCTGGGAGAGGAGGGGATGTAAAACAATATACCAAGTGTCTCGTCAGGCTCACCTTACACACCATGGAGAATGAGGTCGGGTTCTGTTTCTACCTACGTGTACATCTCCGCCCTGTAGGTGAGCTCTTGGTCCTGCCCCTCACGGGTATGGCATATTTAACCCCGGGTTTTTCCCGTGCTATGTTTCCACTGTTCAGGTTCTGTGACAAGGTCTACGAACTGCCTGACTTGGCCAACAGCAGTAAGTGGATACGAATTTTGTGCAATCAATTGCGTGTGACTACTTGTAGTGTCTGTCTGTGCATAGGTGTTGTGCAACGGGCGCCAACATTTGCATGTATGCAAGTCAACTCGTGTAGTGACGTGATTGATAGCGTTTCGTCCCACCGTTCTTCACCGTGGATATTGGGCATATGTGTAGTTATTGTATTCATGACGTGCGCTGGTAACTGTTTCAAGCTTGGACAGATCTCTCGTGCCGACATGGCCTAGAGGAACTGACAAAGCTATGTTGGGCAGCTTCTGGGGAGCCCAGAGAGCGACTGGGAAAACAAACTGCAAAGCAAACCAGTGAGGTCAGCTGGAGTAGTGTGAAATCATGGTCAAGGTGGTAACATGGAGTTCAGTTTACAAGCCTGATAGGAACAATAATACTGCTACAGATTGGCGAAAGGTTCTTGCTACTGGCCCTGAATTAAATCTGTTTTCTTTTCTGTTCCTCTATTTTCTCTTCCCCAGCTCAACCCACACACCCCAGCCAGTCGTTCCCATGGAGATTGGCCGTGTAAAATGTGCTTTGTCAGTGTCGTCATCCGTGTCGCATGACCACTAGACCCTGCAGCTCTGCAGCAGCTGCATTGGCGCTTGCTACGCTATTTGCCCCCTCCTCCTCCTCCTCTGTCACATTGCACCATTACAGGCAGTATAGGGAGATGGTTGTCTGATCGAGACCTACACTCACCCAAGCTCAATATTCTCTACTTGGCCTATATCCACAAAATATCATCACTTTCCCTAGTTCACTTTTTTCACTTTTTTATTCACTTTTTTAGAGCTAGTCTCTACCCACGTTTTTAAAGCTCCTTTCGTGCGCAAGAAAACCAATTTCCATAAAATCATGAGTCATGTGACGTTGCAAAACTAGGTACTAATTTTCTTGCTGCATTCATTTCTAGTTGTTCTCTCCTCCAAGATAACCTGCCTTATAACTACCGGGTACAATAAATCATCAATTCAAACTATATGAACACCGTCCTCCGTGTCACGTGATCGTTCAACTACGCTGCATGGTGGATACACGCACAGCCGCCGCAGTGTATCTTCTGCGTTGCTGTATGTACAATACAATGTATAGTGCTGGCAACTGAAATCCGACCCCCTTGCCGGCGCGCCCAGCCGGCAAGGGGGTCGGATTTCAGTTGCCAGCACTGTACACGTATGCAAGTCAAGACCAGGCGTTTCCCTGGCAACTGAGACCAGCCACTTTAATAATGAAAGGTAGCAAGGTGCTCCGGAGCAATACCGCACAATTCTAGAGTTACACAAGCTGGGCAAAAGGGAACGGGTTGTTACTAAGATCGTGTATTCGTCCAATTTTCACACCCAGTACTCAGACCACTGTGATCACCTTGTGTACGGAGCACTATCACGCCAAACGTACCTCGTCAGATTGTGTATAGAAATAATAATGAAATAATATAAACTTTCAAACTCGGATGTTGAGCCAATAATAAATGTAGAAAGGAGAAGGACATACCGGTGTGGATGCAAATTTAGAGTAACTGTAGCGCTACGGAGGTGTGTTGGTGCTAGGTGTCAGGACGTCGAATGTCTCATATCAGTACTCTGTCAGTTGTTTGCCTAGTTGTTGCACTTTATTAACTCGTATCCATAATTATGTACTTTTCCTTTCTACACAACAGAACAACAAGGACAATCAAGGCTTGTTTGCTGCTACTTTAAGTTTCATGCTTACGCAATCATCAGGCAACATCCCCTTGCCTGATGATTGCGTAAGCATGAAACTTAAAGTAGCAGCAAACAAGCCTTGATTGTCCTTGTTGTTCTGTTGTGTATTACGCTCTGCCTTTGTGGTGTTGAGCACTGTCAAGCACTCTGGGTACATCCTTCGGTACTTTTCCTTTCTACATAATAATATCAACTGTCACTCTCTCTCTCTCTCTCTCTCTCTCTCTCTCTCTCTCTCTCTCTCTCTCTCTCTCTCTCTCTCTCTCTCTCTCTCTCTCTCTCTCTCTCTCTCTCTCTCTCTCTCTCTCTCTCTCTCTCTCTCTCTCTCTCTCTCTCTCACACACACACACACACACACACTCTCTCTCTCTCACACACACAATCTCTCTCTCTCTCTCTCTCTCAGTTTTGTTCTCTCTGTCATATTATATCTACGACCCAAGTAATTAGTTTGATTTTTCACTCTTCCGCACTCATCCACTACTATGTCCATTATCATTAATCATCTTACCCATCATTTTTTTCATCATTAATCATCTTTAATTAATACCCATCATTTTTTATCATTTTATCATCTTACACATCATTTTTCATTTAATCTTCTGCATGCCCTGTGTCCATACTCCATAAAAATCATGCACCACGTCTTGGGATTCAATCATTTTTATCCGCTTTCATAATTATAACCTTCTGCATGATTTTAATCATTTTACACATACATTTTCATTTTACTCTCCATCATTTTGTCGGAACTAGGTCTCCGGACCTGGTGAGAAGGCAGAATGCCTGTTCACTTGGTGAAGCAAAATAAAATAAACAAACAAACTTTAGTCTACTTGAAGTACATGATAGATCCATTCTGTAACACTCCACCACTCCACATTGCGCTCTTGGCCAACGTGGTAGATCAATGAGGATAGAAACTTGCACTGAGTCTGAAACTGGGCACAGAATGCACAGCGCCGCGTGCTGTGATTCCATCGTGTCCACTGCTCCAGCCTAGGAAGACAAATTCCTTCCCGAAGCTCCAGTGATAAGGTGTGGCACCTTGCCGGAACACTCACTGACTCTTCGTGCAATGAGAATGTGTGCCGACTGGAGCATTCTTGGCTCTTGTAGACTTTTCTGTTTTTTGTCTGCTCAGCACGACTGATCACACAGCATGGGGCTGTGTTACCCAAAACAATTATTAGTTATTAAAACGCGAGATGTGGGGTCTTGTGGATTCGCCGAGTGAAATGCTCGACGTACGTGACTGTATAATGCCCAGGTTCATTCAGCATACACTGTACGTTTTTCTTCTTTTCTCTTTATGTTCACCACTCAACTCCCCTTTTTTTCTAAACATTTACACTGATAAATAATTGGTTGTGAGCAACACTGGCTCACACTCAAATAACTGCTTTTCACCAGAAAAAATATTATATTTCAACGTTTCGGTAACGTTGAAATATAATATTTTTTCTGGTGAAAAGCAGTTATTTGAGTGTGAGCCAGTGTTGCTCACAACCAATTTTTTACTTATGAAGCTGCGTGATGCGTCCTACAAGATTTTATATTTACACTGATGTATATACATTGTTTATTTTTTGGTCCCATCGGCCTCTTCATATTTGTGCAGCTGCACTGTTGAGCTTCCGATGTAAAACAAATAATTATACATGTACAGTTGCGCTCACTGAAATCCGACCCAAAGTACAAAGCTGGCGCATTGGAGCAGTTCCGATTACATTATTGTGGGTGTACATGATTGTGTACGTCCAGCCACATTCATTCCACTTCCAGGGCGTCAAGAGCCGTGGAAGTTGAGGGCGCCAGCTTTGCACATTGGGTCGAATTTCAGTGAGCGCAATTGTACATGGTGTATGACCAACCAGCGTGGCAGCCGGGAGTCTGCAAGATTCGTGACCGGTCGCGGGGGTACCATGGTTCCGTAACCGGTAGCTAGCGTACTACGATCTACGGGTACCGGGGTATCGTTTTGTTTGCTTTTTTTCAGCTTTCACAAAACTTTGTTCATAATATGGTGGTAAACACGCACCTGGCAATACATGTATGGCGGTAAAAATACGCCGGCCATTAATTAAACTTTGCGTCTCTGTGTTTTTCACTGTTTTTACTTGACATTATCTTTCTTTACGGAGTTATTGTTGCTGTTCATTTTGCTACTCCTTCTTTTTCCCTCCCCTTACTTCTATTTATCGCCGTGGTTGGCAATCACCCACTCTCTTAACATTGGCCGGTGTTTCCCCCGAGTCTTGAGATGTTGTAATAAATATAAATCGATATCAATATAAATATAAACAACAGGAAGAAAGGAGATAAAAATGGCTGTAAATGTTTGCCTTTACCGCTTTTGCCAGTTTTGCCAGTTTTGCCAGTTTTGGGATCACGAACAAGTACATGTCCGTACGTATGATATAATCCAAAACTGGTAAACCAGTATTAGATGAACATTGTTAATGTTGTAGTTCACGCAATTGTTAGATTGACAGCATGAAACAAGGAGGAGGACACTGTGTTCGAAAACAGTGACCTTACTACAACCTTCCGCGGTTGGCAGAGCCGCGGTCCCTGCGGACCATTTGAACCATATTATGGGTATCGCACCCGGTTCTGACCCTCGTTATGCTAGAGGGTTGATCCCCGTTAGCACAGTGTCCTCCTCCTTGTTTCATACTGTCAATCTAACAATGCACGTACGTGTATGTCAGACGGGTTTTTTTAGAAGTGAAAGTGCTACGTTCTCTTCCAAAACGCAAGTTTGTGCGGGTGCACTACCATCATTATAATAATATTATGGAAAATGTGCTAAAAATCCTCCTTTTTATCCACCTAGCTGCAAGCGCTAGCCAGCTAACGGACTATGACCAATAATGCAATATGATAGTAGAGTGGGAGTGATCATCGTTGAAGAGGAGGTTGACCCAGAACGTGCAATAAACTGACCGGCAGCAGAAAAAGCAGTCAAACAGCATGGTATGCATCAGACATCAAGGTATGCATCGGACATCATGCATAAACGGTCAGCGATAGTCCTTTATCTTTGATCCCCCTTCTGCTGGTTCCGAGAAAGCGCCGTTTATGTTTTTCTCGGTGCGATTCTGATTTTCCTGGCACGCGACCCAATCACCATGGTCACTTTCCTGTGCACGTCATAATGTTTGCGCGCGCGTCGTGTCATGACTCCGACTCATGAGTCATGAGTCATGAGCAGTCCTTATCATGATTCATGGTTAGGTACAACTAGATATATCCGCTGTGTAGATCTCCACGCCATGGGCGCCAGTCTAGTCACAGTACAGTATGGCCACGCACATGTCACGCATGTGCTGCAATGCAGATCAGATCAGATCGATGCAGACGTGGAGTCGTCTGACCGGCCGTAGACCATGTAGACTCTAGTCTAGAGTACTAGTCTAGAGCGGAGTCATGTAGCGCTGAGCCTGAGCCTGACTGAGCCTGAGGGATGAGGGTTGAACCGCAGAGTAGGCGCAGTGCTTGCAAGCTGCAGCCCATGTACAACAAGCACAGTGTGTAGGGTGTCAGTCCCTGTCTCACTGTGTCACTGTGTCACTGTGTGTGTTCAGAAGATTGTTTGCCATGTTTTGTTGAAGTAGCTCGAGTAAGAAATAGATACAACTCCACAGCAGTCAAGCCAGTGATAATGAATGTATGCTGCAGCGAATCGGCATTTGTAACTAGCGGGAATTCCAACCTTCACAATCGATACGAGGAAACATCGGAGCGCTCCCACTGTCCATATTGCTTTCAGCTCTCCCGATTGCCGGGCGACGTTTCTTCTCCTTTTCTATTCGCTTGTTGAGCTGCTTGTAAACACGCTATTATAATGGAGGGTGCCACTGCAGCGTCGTCAAACATGATTACGGAGAGACCTCCTAGCACTGCCACTAGTGTGCAACGTAAAGAGGAGACAGCGGAGTTGAAATTAACACCGTAAGTCCAACTGAATAGTAAAGTTGCGCTACCTGTGCGAAGTGTTGTTTCGCCGGTCTCCTTTTGCCCTTGTACAAAAGTAATGGCTGCACCTTTCGCCCATATCGGCAGACAGGAGAAGGCGAATGGAGCGCAAGTAAACATCGTGTCACTTGCTGTTCCCGCATTCTTGACCTGTACTCAATATCCGTTTTACTTTTAGCGTTCATGGTGATCGGGGTAGTGCTTATGGCGGCTGATGTTGATGATTCTCCATGCTCTCTGCCCCTTGCCTCGTGTCTTGCTTACACGTACAGGCTGTCCAATGGCATGACGCAAGCAGAGCGTATGGAAGCAAGAGATACCCGCGTTGAACAATACGTAAGGAATTGTTGTGAAGTGAAATGATTGTCCAAAGATGAATATTGGACGGGTGAGAAACTTGCGCTTAGGATACTGAGCTATGGTGTAGTTTGAATCGCTGTGGCCAAGGCTGTAGAACCTTTCCCAGACTTTCAAACTCCCACCTGGCTTAATCTACAAAATTAAATATTATTCATATTAATGCTGTTGTGGTGCAACTCTCAGTTACTGAGTCCATTGCCCACACAGTCGTGGCTGCCTGCCTGGGCCTTATGGGACACTCACAGTGACTGAGTCCATTGCCCACACCGGCAGTCGTGACTGCCTGCCTGGGACAGTGCTGTCCAGTGAATGAAGACAGTGTGTGCCAAGCACCAGTTCACATCCCAGTGCAGGTCTAGAAGTAGGGTTGTGCCAATACGCAATAGAGAAGTAGTTAAGATGCACGTTATTTCCGACATGACGGAAAAGTTCAGCTCGCGTTGACCGTGAAAAAACAACGCGAGTAACCTGCAGCTCACGTCGAAATTTGAGGATTTCCCAAAGACGTAGTCTAAATTGAAGGGAGTTCCATTATAATGGGAGGCTATAGGGTGGAGGTAGCAAACATCGAATGGCTAATGAACAGTCCAGAGAAAAAAATCATATTATGGGCTGAATGATCCAGAATTGTCCTGTACTCAATAACACCAATAGCCTCGGGTATGCCTTGAGATACAAACACACCGAAACAGAAACACAGACTAAGAAGAATGCGTGCAGAGCTCAAAGACGGAGAACAGAGGCATCATGTGAATGAGGAGTGGCATTGTGTTTGGTGTCAGAGGAATGCGTGCAAATGTGACTGCGGAACAGTGACTGCGTGGCCGTGGCTCTCAGGTCTGCTGGCAAGGCATTCCAGACAGTAGCTCTGTGGAAGAGAAATGACCTCCTGGCGTGTTTCCCAACCTGTGGCAGAGTGAATACGAGTTGCCGGCGGCGACAACGTTTGGGGCAGTATCCTGCTGCTTCAAGAAGTTCTGGTTGGGTGGTGACCAAATGGAAGAACTCCATGAGGCAGGCGCTGCATGTACAGACATGCAGCATGTCCTGACATGCAGTATGTCCTGACATGCATTATGTCCGGACATGCTGTATGTCTGTGCATGCATTATGTCCAGACATACTGCATGTCAGGACATAATGCATGTCAGGACATAATGCATGTCAGGACATAATGCATGTCAGGACATAATGCATGTCAGGACATAATGCATGTCAGGACATAATGCATGTCAGGACATAATGCATATCAGGACATAATGCATGACATGTACAGACATAGTACATGACTTGGACAGACAAATGGCTACATGACCAGAATGCAGTTACTGGTGTGGTGGGTATGCATGATGGCTGGGCCAAATAATTTAATTGGACTCCACTGGACTGGTTAATTAATACATGCACCGTAGTGATGAGCATACAAGAAGGTGCGTCTATATCCGGGTATATGCTCATCCACACAATCATCATACTACTAATTATAACTCAATTCAATTGGCTGTCTTGACATGCCACGAGCTGCAGAAATAAATAAATAAATAAATAAATAAGCATGTGGTCTGAGAAGTGAACCCAATCGCACGACACACAGACGCTCCCATGATACCATCTTCACTGGATTTAACGTGCGATCTTCAAATACTATTCTGGTAACTCAATTACAGTCAGACCTCGCTTATCCGCTCCTCTTTTATCCGGTCCTCTTTTATCCGGATCCCTCGTCATCCGGAAGAAAATAGCTGGTTACAGATTTACAGCATACGTGGTGCATCCAACATAACCAGTGTTCGGTTATCCGGTTCCCTGGCCTCTCCGGATATTTTTTTGTGGAAAACAGATGTGTGCAGGTAAGCGAGGTCTGACTGTACAAGCTTATGCGCCTGTATTAGTAAGAGATCAATCGAGTTGCAAAAAAAAAACAAATAATAGCAAAAACTCACATATACGGGCGCTGGCTCTAATGTGAGTCAGTACGGTGCATATGAAGAATGACCTGAAGAGCCGAAGGTTCAACCAATCGTTTCCATTCTTCTTTGTTTGGTACGGCCCTCTGCTCCCCGATTCCCGTACCGGAGTGAGAACCAACATGTCTTCCCTGTAGGGTCACTCGTTTACTTCGATGTGCAACACCTGTGTTGTCTTCTAGTCAAGAAAGTAAGCTGGCACATTTTTCGTATCAGGCCACCCCGAAAAAAGCTCGTATGTTTCAGTTTAGAAACTTTAGGGGCTGCAATTCTGCCTGCAGTTTCCGTCACTATAGTTGACGTTGTCGTCAATAGCTGCATTGCTAGAGTCACGGTGGAGTGTTAGAAACTCTTTGTTGAGAGGGTGTCATTCGCTTCAAATCCGTGTTTGCTTCCCACGCCGAAACCGGGTCAAGCCGCAATGATGCTGACACAAGTGAAAATGTTGAACTTCATTTGGAGTTTACGTCGGAGTAACAGAAAGATGTAGTTACTGGCCCGCGACGATCGCTGAACGATGCGTTGATGTGCAGCGTCTGAGAATGACCAATTCGGCTGTTCCTGGTGGTCTGATCAAGCTGCTGTCTTGTTGATTGAGAATGCTATGTACATGACATGTACATGTGCATAGTATTGTATGCCTGCTTTTATAATAATATTGACCACACATTTTTTATACACAGGTATTGTCTGTGCACACCAGATCTGGCATGCATCAAATAATTATATCAGCATCTATTTCTGGCCATGTTACCCGAAACAAGAGAATTATTTAGTGGAGCCTCATGCAATATTCTATGCTGTGGTTTTGCCTGCAGGCGGAGTTTAAAAAAGATCAGAAGAAAGCATCTATCGGAGGTATGATGTGCACATGCCCTGCCAATAGTGATTGTCAGTGTAAATGAGACAGTCTGTAGAGTAGAACCCGGGTTAGGGATCCACCTAACTCTGCGCGGTCATAGCTGGACTCAGTTGTACAGGGATGGGCAAAAAGGTGTGCAAAACGACCTTTTGTGAGTAGATGGACCCCGGAAAAATAGTTTGGAGGGAAAAAAATTCCGGCTTCCTCGGAAACCGACGGGGGACCCCCCCCCCCTTGGGCCGGAAATTAAGTCCCGGTATAAGGATCACCCGCACAATGTACATGCCAAGTGACCCCCCCCCCCCGGGCTCCGAAGGATCACCCGCACAATTATGTACGTGCCAAGTGCCCCCCCCCCCCCCCCCCCCCGGGCTCCGATCCCTAATCCGGTGTGACCCTTAACCCGGGTTCTTCTCTACAGTCATACTAGTGTAGTCACTAGTCATGTGACCTGTTCACTGTTATGTACAGTCATACTAGTGTAATCACTGGTCATGTGACCTGTTTACTGGTATGTACAGTCAAACTAGTTTAATCACTGGTCATGTGATCTATTCACTGTTATGTACAGTCAAACTAGTGTAACCACTGGTCATGTGACCTGTTCACTGTTCTGTACAGTCAAACTAGTGTACCCACTGGTCATGTGACCTGTTCACTGTTATGAACAGTCAAACTAGTGTAATCACTGGTCATGTGACCTGTTCACTGTTACATCCAGCATAGGCAATCTTCAAACTCTTCAAATCTTTGAAGAAGGGCTGAGGCTTCCTGCAGCTTCATCTGTGAAAAGAATTCGGGTGGACACACCCATTCCCATAGCGCTGCACATCACATCCGAACCAGTTCCGTTATTTTTACAACGTTTCGGCACTTGGCCATCGTCAGGTAATAACAATGAATACCGTGGAAGCCACACAAGAGCAGTACATACGCAGAGTGTAGCGCCAAAAAAGATGCGAATTATGTAAAAGAAAAGACAATTGACACTCGCTCCTCTGCAGCTTCCAAGACCATTGTACAAACCGCCACGCTGCCTCGCTTCGGGAAGAGAAGAACCAAGTTTGAAGAAGGGCTGAGGCTTCCTGCAGCTTCATCTGTGAAAAGAATTCGGGTGGACACACCCATTCCCATAGCGCTGCACATCACATCCGAACCAGTTCCGTTATTTTTACAACGTTTCGGCACTTGGCCATCGTCAGGTAATAACAATGAATACCGTGGAAGCCACACAAGAGCAGTATATACGCAGAGTGTAGCGCCAAAAAAGATGCGAATTATGTAAAAGAAAAGACAATTGACACTCGCTCCTCTGCAGCTATGGGAATGGGTGTGTCCACCCGAATTCTTTTCACAGATGAAGCTGCAGGAAGCCTCAGCCCTTCTTCAAACTTGGTTCTCCTCTTCCCGGAGCGAGGCAGCGTGGCGGTTTGTACAATGGTCTTGGAAGTTGCAGAGGAGCGAGTGTCAATTGTCTTTTCTTTTACATAATTCGCATCTTTTTTGGCGGTACACTCTGCGTATATACTGCTCTTGTGTGGCTTCCACGGTATTCATTGTTATTACCTGACGATGGCCAAGTGCCGAAACGTTGTAAAAATAACGGAACTGGTTCGGATGTGATGTGCAGCGCCATGGGAATGGGTGTGTCCACCCGAATTCTTTTCTTCAAATCTTACAGGGGTAAAAAAATCAAGGTTCGCGTCAGACTCCGCTAGGGGCCGAGTTTTCTGCATCCGTAGGAACGCCACCACTCTTCAAGGATCAAGGCGCAGATGCAGCTCCTAAAGCGGTGGGAGGCGAGTAGATCAGCTCACCACCAAGTGGTCAAAGACCGAAAATTCCCTTCGCTGCATCCATGTTTTCCTCGTGCCAGGCCACGAGTTCCCAATTAACTGTGGGTCGCAGCACGGCTGTAAAAATTCCTTCCGCTTCCAAGCAGGACTTGAACCCGGTACCTTCTGTTTCTCAATCATGATCTTAGACCATCCCACTATGCCTGCCTTACTGGGGAATTACGGCAAAAATATTACATAAATATTACGTATACATACATGTACATGTACGTGCAATGCATTGCATTATCAGAACGATGGCAAACTTGAAATTCTGTCGCGACAGCACCCATAGTTCTGCTGCACACTCCGAAGGGTGTATGCACTCTTGTTTGTACCCTTGTTTGGTGGTTGCTGCCGCTTTCTCGTTGACGCCCCGTGGGAGAGATGTTGCTGTACGGTTGTGCGGTTGATATCGTGTTAGTGAGAGTTTGCGATGACCAGGATTCTCAGCAGTCATCTTTCTGCTGCGCTTTAGGAAAATCAATTGAGTTTTTTTGCAAATTTCTTTCATCTTCTTTCATAACTACGTGCGTATTCGGCGCTCAGCAGTCAAGCTTCGCGTTTTGAATAACCCAAGTTTTTCATTGTCCAGGGGCTGGGAATTTGCGTATCATCGGTATCAGCTTTGTCCAGCTTGCCTCCTGTCAAAAGGCACAAATAATATTTTCTTTTAGGGAAAGTGACTAGAGTGTAATCGTTGTGGATAGTACCGTTGTCTATGACGACAGGGCATACATATGACACCTTGCTCTTTGTACAGATAATAATTGGGTGAAAGGCCAAGGATTGAAATTGAAAGACCAAAATGCTACATGTTATCTCTATTTTGTGTCCAACACTGTTTGCAGCTGCTCCTTCGGATTACACAACATCTTGCTTATAACCGTTACTGTTCGACCCAAACTACGGATAACATGTGACATTTCGTTCCTCTGTACGCTCCTTGATTACCATCAGCTCCTCTCTTCATAGATTGGTTACCACTGTGAGGAATTGCGTCGTTTGGGAATTGAATGAAATGATATTTAATGATCCGACACGCCTGTGTGGATTAGCAGGAAACGTGAGTTTCTAAGTCTGAAGAGAACGCTGAACGGTCTCTGCTTGGACTATAGCTGCACCATAGCTCAGTGGTTAGAGCATCGCTGGCCTCGAGCGAAGGTCCCTAGTTCGAGTTCTGGTGGTCATTCCTAGTGGTCATAGTCAATTTTTTTCTTCAGACTTTCCCGTTTGCATCTTTCCCTCAAACCAATGAATACGATATCAATTGTGTGTTTTCTATTTCTGTAGGAAAGTACCGGCCAGGCGCAGCAGCATCCCTTAAACCTCGTCCCAAGTTTGAACTTCTTCCACCTACCTGGGTCGACACCGGAGACAGACCAAAGATATACGTTGGTGCACGTGCCAATGGTTAGTTGAATGATCAACACAATCACACACGTGTGAACAAACACATCCACGCCCCACACAAACAAGCACACATAAACATGCATACAGACAGACAGAGACACACACACGCCCATATGGGCACCCGCATCCCTACTCTTACATATACACACATTCTTTCCTCATCTTGGTCATTGTCTCTCTCTCTTTCTGTGTGTCGTCCATTGCGCAAAATCACGCGACACCTGCACATTTTCGATCTGCGTTTTGAAGATGACGGCGCCCATGCATTAAGTATCAGGGAGTAGTAAGATACTGGTATATCACTACTCCATGCCTCAAATCGTACTGTCAAGGGTATACGCGTGAGTGTAGCATGCCATCACTTACACGTTCCAGCTCAGGGTTGCCCTGGCTACCAATGAACGAGATTTCAGGGTCACAGCTTGCGCAATGGCTTTGTACTTTTGGAATGGCCACTCAACGTACTCAGCACAATTTCTCTATTGCATGCATGCACAATATATTCAAATTTCGTATTTTTGGTGACTTTACCACCATCATGGAGGCTGGTCGGTGAGGAGCAGGTAGCCATCGCTTGTTGAATCAAACACATGGTTCCACTGTGTGGCTGATTCTGCAAGAGCCAGGTCCATACGAGGAACATTCGCTTTGAGTTTTGCCATCGAAGTAAGTCAATTTCCTTGTTTTCAGTGTTTCAACGTTTCTGATCTTTCTGAATTATTGACTTTTCATTCTTTCATACGTTATTTCTTCATGTTCATTGCCTCGCTTGCCGTCTGATCTGGAGAATGTGATGGAGGTGACTGTTGGTTACTGCCTGGTATAACGGTTGTCGTGCTGTTGCTGTATTTCCGCTCTGCTCGCGACGTAGATCACAAACAATTTTAAATCACATGAATTGTACGGTACTTACCGTCGTGCGTGCGGTATTAGGAAACGCTGTGCAGATTGGATCGTCGCAATGTATCCAATGTGTGTCTGGTCATCCTGTGACACGCAAGAACTCCAACCTGATGCATTCGTCCTCGGCCCAGTTGATCGATTGTCCACTTTCCTTGAAGAAAGACCGATCAAAAAATCGAAGACTTTTTGCAAAAAAACGGCCGAAAAAAGGAAGAAAAAGGATGCTCAGAATGAGATTCGAGTACACAACCATGGTCCGAGCAGTTTATGTGGATGTTGCTCATAGATACGCGATTTCGCGCAATGCTGTCTCTGTCTGTCTGTCTCTCTCTCTCTCTCTCTCTCTCTCTCTCTCTCTCTCTCTCTCTCTCTCATGCACACACTCTCTCTCTGTCATGTTACCATCTGTACTCCCTGCTGTGACTTCCATCCTAGATGACTCATCTGTTTACCGCATAACATCATGATCCATTGCATCGTTGGACATGATATCATTGACTTTGACATAATTGACACTGCTGTCATGATGCTATGGAGTCATCCGGTGTCACAGCGGTTTTCAACAAGCTACTAATACAATTAGTTGGAGCTGAGTAATAGTGCCAACAGCAATCTGGAGAATAAAATCAACTGATTAATTGGTGTGTGTGTGTGTGTGTGTGTGTGTGTGTGTGTGTGTGTGTGTGTGTGTGTGTGTGTGTGTGCATGCGTGTGTGTGTGTACGCGGGTGTGTGTGTGTGTACGCATGTGCATTGTCCATTCTTTTAGAATCAAAGCCAAAACCTGACAAGGTATGTGTAATCAACGCTACACAATACACCACACAATACACCACACAATACACCACACAATACACCACACAATACACCACACAATACACCTTACAATACACCACACAATACACCATACAATACACCACACAATACACCACACAATACACCACACAATACACCATACAATACACCACACAATACACCACACAATACACCTTACAATACACCATACAATACACCACACAATACACCACACAATACACCATAGTTATAATACTCCACACTTCAATGCTATTGAACACAAATTAATGTTTCGAATTAAAAGAGGCGACTGCTGTTACCAAATGAGCCTCCTGATCCGAAAAGACGGCTTATGAGAAGTCGAGTTCTCCATACAAAAAAATAAATCATGTTTTGCCTGATGATTGCTCAAGCGTGAAACTCGGAGTTGCACAAACATTTTGTTCCACCTGACTTATAAAGCGATGGATCTGCACTTACTGAAACACTCACAACTCTCTGATAGACTGAATTGTGACTGAGGTTTTATGCAGAGGTCTGCTGGATTGCAGCAACTTCCTGGACAGATAACTCAACGGTCGGAGCAGACACTTTCTTTACTACTCACCGCCCGTGTCGCGACATCTTTCGTAGATAACTTAAAGTGCTCAAAAAGGCTCTCTTTTTTCGGGATCCAGAGACTGAAGTATTAATCGCATTAATAAAGTTATTGTCTCCTCGTCGCCTGATATGCAAAACGTTTCACTATTCCTTGTCATAGTCTGCAATGTCTTAAAACTTCTCACATCATACGCCCTGCATGCAGTCCATCGAATAAATTATTTATTTTAAAACGTATTAAAGTACACAGAATTCGTCAACAAAGTACTTCGAAGTATCATTCGGGGAAGTAAACTTGAAAGAGAACAAAACGCCAACCCCATTGGAAATCGAGCCTGGAACGAAAACGGCTTTGCTCCTTCCAGCGACAGTTGCAAATCGATGTCAGAACACATGGATAGGCAACGTACCAAACAATATCCCATTCCCGGTAAGTAGATACTCTTATTTCAGAAATTTTCGGTGCTCAATATTTTCGGTATGACGGCAACAGGCCAGGTTAGGTGAACAGAAATTTTCGGTACAGAGAATCAGTTCCCTATTGGATTATGTGTGTTAGTATTTGTTCGGTGTATTGAAATTTTAGGTATGAAACAGACGCACGGAAAGTACCGAAAATAAAAGTACACCGAAAATTGGTGAAATGACAGTAACCTGGAAGCACCGTTTCCTTGCAAGGAAATTTCAGCCATCTCTCCTTGGTTCAAGATCGCCATTTTTCGCAAAAAAAACAGTTCGTGTTTGGTTACAACTCTGAGTGCCACATCTGATGCGCACTTGGCTGCAAGCGCGAACCGCACGCGCAGGGCACGTGCCGATATCCCTATAGTCACAGTATATAAGAATGGGTTCACTAGTCAGAACAACAGAAGGCTTGATCAGTCACAACTTAAAGTTTCATGCCATCTCAGGCACTCATCAGGTGATATGAACATCAAGAAAAATAACCCGGGAGAATGAAGTTCCAAGAAGAAGATTGCCTGATGAGTGCAGCGGGGACGAAACGCACGTCGCAATCGAGCTATGTCGTTGCTGTGTCATCATCTATGTGCCATGCGCTACTTGATGTACCAGCCTGCTATGCCGGATACCGCCAGCCATGCATCGACCAGGCGCTAGGCGCGAACTGATGGTGGTGGTGGTGAGAAGGAGAGCTCTGTGCCAGAACTTTGCAGCCTAGAGAGCGTGTGTGGGCAGGCGTGTGTTTACCGCCATACTGCCAGGTGTGTCTTCACCACCATATTTATCAACCAAGAAAAATAACCCACTATTTAAAGCCCAGTATGGCGGGACAAGGATAACAGAAAGCGCTAAGGGCGCTATCAACTCATATCCGATTCAGTAAGAATGGATTCACGTACGTTTGACTAGGACTTCGAGAGTAAGGACACTTCGGGAGTATGGACATTAATCTGGTACCGGCCGGATGTCGTTACTCACAAAATTGGCTGTACTGCAGGGAGCAAAGAAGAATGGCCAAAAAAGACAACAACATTGTGTGACCCATGCAAATAACAAATGATGGCGAAAAGGTGCAAGTATGAAGAAGCCTTCGTGAACGTGAAGTGTAGTGCGACAAAAATAGAAAATCAATGAACCATGTTTTATTCCCTCTCAGCTGTACTAAAAAAATCATTTTTGTTTTGAAAACAAACAAACATCTTCATAACCATCAATGGGCTGGGTGTATGCTGTTGCATGGCAAATAGCTGAGCAAAGTCCATAGGTGCTATCTTCTACTTTCTAACCAGCCACCACACCGTACCTGCACTCTCCAGCCGTCCTCGGCACGATGTTGCCACAGCAAACGACCAGCAAAGCGACACATCCGTCTTGTCAAGGTCAGCTGGAGAGGGCGCAATTATGGTGCGGTAGTTGATAAAAATACAGTTAAACCTGGGGTAAGCGACCTCTGGGTTTAGCGACCACCTGCTCTTAACGACCGTTTTTCCATGTACCGACAGTTCTAAACAGACACTGTGGGACCTGGTTCTAAAGACCAGATGGCTTTAATTTAACCACCGCTTTTGCTTGCACCGTAGGGTGGTCTTGCTTGCACTGTAGGGTGGTCGCTTCTAGACCAAGTGTATGTATATGCTGAATGGTGCTGCTTCCATTTTTATCTTCTCCTTTCCCTTGACTTGCGTCTCATATGGCAGGGAGCAGCGTCAAGCACAAAGGAATCTACTAACGCCACTTCCAACCGCCCAGCCCGTGGCAATGGCGTAAAACACGGGCAGCAGGGCAAGGGCATTGGCGACATAGCGCGTTTCCCGTCCATGGAATCTCTGGAGTGTGAGACCACGATTGCTGTTCGTCCCGATTCAGGTATCTATCATGCACAGGCTACAGCTCAAGATGACATCACCGTAAGTATGTTTACAGTATTTATATTCAGAATTTCAGATGGTGCAAGTTATACCAGGACTGATTGTGCACGCGAAGGCCATCCGGCTTTATCCTGACACCACCCAATCTTTGACGGGTCTCTCCCCTAGCAGTGCACATCAGTTTGCGTGCATGCAGGTGTTTGTGTGTTTGTGTGTGTGTGTGTGTGTGTGTTTGTGTGTGTGTGTGTGTGTGTGTTTGTGTATGTGTGTGTGTGTGTGTGTGTGTGTGTGTGTGTGTGTGTGTGTGCGTGTGTGCGTGCATGTGTGTGTCTGAGTATGTGTGTGTGTTTTGTGTGTTTGTGTGTTGTGGTGTGTGTCTGAGTATGTGTGTGTGTGTGTGTGTGTGTGTATGTGCGTGTGTGTGTGTGTGTGCATGTGTGCATGTGTGCGTGTGTGGTCGGAGTAAAGTTTCACTGGAAGAAACAAGTGCATCTAGTGCCTGCTGCTGCTGCTATCAAAGCAGCAATATGCCTATTTGACAACCTGGAAAATGTGGGTTGTGCATAGGTAACTAACTGTCTTGCCCTCATCTTCCTCTGTACTCCTGAGCAGGGATGCGCACACCCACACACGCATTCTCACACATAACATAATACCTGTCCTAATGCCAATGTGTACAGTAAAAGCGAGTGATTCGCTGCACAGCAAGTGCAGTCTCCCGCTCGCAATGGCCTAGTTCCGCAGCAATGGCCTAGTCCCCCAGCAATGGCCTAGTTCCGCAGCAATGGCCTACTTCCGCAGGAATGGCCTAGTTCCGCAGCAATGGCCTAGTTCCGCAGCAATGGCCTAGTTCCGCAGGAATGGCCTAGTTCCGCAGCAATGGCCTAGTTCCGCAGGAATGGCCTAGTTCCGCAGCAATGGCCTAGTTCCGCAGCAATGGCCTAGTTCCGCAGGAATGGCCTAGTTCCGCAGCAATGGCCTAGTTCCGCAGCAATGGCCTAGTTCCGCAGCAATGGCCTAGTTCCGCAGCAATGGCCTAGTTCCGCAGGAATGACCTAGTTCCGCAGCAATGGCCTAGTTCCGCAGCAATGGCCTAGTTCTGCAGCAACGGCCTAGTTCTGCAGCAATGGCCTAGTTCTGCAGCAATGGCCTAGTTCTGCAGCAATGGCCTAGTTCTGCAGCAATGGCCTAGTTCTGCAGCAATGGCCTAGTTCTGCAGCAATGGCCTAGTTCTGCAGCAATGGCCTAGTTCCGCAGCAATGGCCTAGTTCCGCAGCAATGGCCTAGTTCTGCAGCAATGGCCTAGTTCTGCAGCAATGGCCTAGTTCTGCAGCAATGGCCTAGTTCTGCAGCAATGGCCTAGTTCTGCAGCAATGGCCTAGTTCTGCAGCAATGGCCTAGTTCTGCAGCAATGGCCTAGTTCTGCAGCAATGGCCTAGTTCCGCAGCAATGGCCTAGTTCCGCAGCAATGGCCTAGTTCCGCAGCAATGGCCTAGTTCCGCAGCAATGGCCTAGTTCCGCAGCAATGGTCTAGTTCTGCAGCAATGGCCTAGTTCCGCAGCAATGGTCTAGTTCTGCAGCAATGGCCTAGTTCCGCAGCAATGACTTCGAACTGGCATGCCGGATACATGTGTATCTGTGAGTTTTCCTTGTCTTGTGTATAACAACCGGTGTCCTCTGTCGTAGCCTACATGTATATGATTGTGTGTGTGCACTTGCCACTTGTTTGTGTACGTGTACTTACCACGGCACTGGTATGAGTGGTTGTCATTGCACTGGTATGAGTGGTTGGCATGGCACTGGTATGAGTGGTTGTCATTGCACTGGTATGAGTGGTTGTCATGGCACTGGTATGAGTGGTTGTCAGGGCACTGGTATGAGTGGTTGGCATGGCACTGGTCTGAGTGGTTGTCAGGGCACTGGTATGAGTGGTTGTCATTGCACTGGTATGAGTGGTTGTCATGGCACTGGTATGAGTGGTTGTCAGGGCACTGGTATGAGTGGTTGGCATGGCACTTGTATGAGTGGTTGGCATGGCACCGGTATGAGTGGTTGTCAGGGCACTGGTATGAGTGGTTGTCATGGCACTGGTGTGGGTGCTAGCCCTTGGCGGATAACGCTGGCAGAAAAATTGGTAGATTGTTGGTACTTTGCTGGTATGTTTCGTGCATGTGTTAGTTAGTGAATACAGAAGTGGACCAAAGTTCTTTGCACAAGGTTTGAATGGTTCTGCCAATTTCACAGCTTTTCAAGCAGAATCTGCGAATTTTTGATCCGAATCATGCACACCGGTTTCCCAATTACCTGCAATGTTTTCAGGATCAGAGTCAAAGAGACTACGCAGATGCCGCAGCTGCCTCATCTGCTGCCACTGATGGTGCAGCTGTCATGCCGGAAGCTACTGGTGGTGAAGTAGCTGGTGCAGCTGCTGTTGCAAGGCATGCTCCCGCTCGACGCTCTACTACGGGTGGTTCAACTGCATGGGCTCCGTCTGATGATGAGGATGAGGCGGATGACGGTGCTGATAATTCTAGCGACTCCGACGAGCAGGAGGAAGTCGGCGATCTCGTAAAATTCCCAGTCGGAGGCCCCTCTCTTGGAGCACAGCATCTATACGTGAGTGCTTTAGTCTATAAGTACATGCAGGGACTGCGAGTGTATGGCGCCATCATTATTACATCACTATGAGACCATAACGACATCAGTATGACATCACTATGATAATAACTATGCCATCATTCTGACATCATCATGGCATCACTATGACATCATTCTGAAATCACTCTGCCACCATTTTGACAGCCGGAGAGGCATGGGGGGAGGGGTACTGGCAGAATACGTAGAACACATTCTACAACCATGGTATAGGTAAGCATTTGTTTGATAGAATAACATGTTGTTTGGTTGACAGCGTGTTGCAGCTTACAAGGCCAATGATGTTGTAGTGATGATCACTGTGTTTCAATACAGTCACGGCGTCCTCCACCTTGTAACATGCTGTCAACCGATCAACAACATCTGATGCCACCAGTAGGACTGGTTGATCTGTATGCATTGGTCGTCTGTACAACTTGTGAATGATCTACACCCGATAAACCAGCCGAATTGTGGCCGATGAGAATGGTACCAGAGGATGAGCAAGTTATAAGGTTGTAGTTTTCGCTGAGATTTTAGTCTTTAGATTCCCTCTCTGACATTCATTTGTTGCCTGCGGTCTTCTGTGTTTGCCTTGCTACATTTACCTACACTGAGCTACAGGGTCCCAGAGTCACCGAAGAATTAAGTTTGGAGGCTGTTCTGTCGAGGTAATTAATACTTGCTGTGTCTTTTAGCTGTTGCTGTGCATGTTTTCATGCTGAGGTAAAAAGCATTGTTCGTGAACTGCAATTCCACCCCGTCAGGCGAAATAGTCATATGAATACATTTGAGATCAGCGGGAAGAAGATGACGACGTCCACTATTTTAGTATCTGTGCACACAAATATGTTGTGTGCGTGACTTTGTGTGTCAGCTATGACATCAAACCCTATGGTTCAATGCCCAGCATGTACAGTGCTGGAAACTGAAATCCGACCCCCTTGAGCGGTGCGCTCAGCTGATCGGGGGGTCGGATTTCAGTTGCCAGCACTGTAGGTCAGAGCCATCCTGCAAAGTTTGAATGATGTAGGTTGAACGATCGCGCGGACAACCATATATAAACATTTTGAAATTCTCTTCGTAGTACACCTTCCACCATTGATATTTCGAATTTCTTGCAGAGAGGGGTAGCTTGCAACCACGATATGACTTGTTCCAGGCATGCTTTGAAGCGAAACCCTGGTGAAGTGGTGGCGGGGATCTGCTCTGCAACTGCTACAACAAAAATTGATTCGATCTGAGAAAGCTTAATTCGGACAAGCTCGGTTGAATATGGAATATTTGAAGCATTTTTTAGACGAATATGGAGTTCTTCTTGGAGGACATTGCGAAAATGACATGGTATCCGAATTCTGGCGTCTGGTGAAGCCAGGGATCATTTGTCCAGTCAGGCTGGCAGCCTAACCGTCGGTAAGCTTGTGAGTAGGATTCTGTTCTGCTCGATGTGGTAGATCACAAAATAATAATTATTCTATTTTGATATCGCACAAATTGAACTCTGCATCGTGCGTACGGTATTTTATATTCAGAAAATCGCAAAGTGTCTCTGTGTGGCTGTCCTATGTCAGGAGAAACTCCAATCAGGCTCTTATGTCCTCTGCCTTCTTGATTGAATGTCCACTTCGTTTGAACAACGAACACAACAATCAAGGACGGCTTTGTAATGAAAAATACATCTATACTGGAGCTGGAAAAAAGAAGAAAAAACGTGCCCTTGATGAGACTCGAGTACACGGGTACTCTCCCAGCAGGTTCTGTGGATGTCGCTCACAGATGCGGAATTTCACGTGACGCAGCACGTGCTCAAAACTTCAGGATGTGCACAGTCCAGCAGAGAACACCATGGAAACCAAGCGAGGGAAAGACAGGACAATACTGCCGGAGCAGCGTGCTGATGTATTGGGCCTGCCTTCCCCGACCAGGGGTCTCGGGCTCAGCGGCAGCACCAAGCATCAAATACCAAAACAATAGGTAGAATAGGAGATAGATGATAAGGAACTATGTTTGATATAAGGAAGCAAATTTAGCAGCCGATTGCTCACACGAGAAGTCCACTTTTAAAACCTTTCGCTCGGCATACCTGCAAGAACACGCCACTCCTTTGCTCAACGCACAGTGTTTCCGAGAATTCACCCCTCATCAGTTGAGTTTGAGAACACTAATGAAACTTTTGCTCCGAGAGCACGACACTATGTATCGCTCTCTGAGACTAAACATCACTAGGGATATCAAGTTACAGTGAAAATCCGTCTCCAGCCCGACAAGCACCTCGTGAGCGCCATGCAGCAGCATGAGTCAGTGTCGGACAAGGAGTTACAAAGATGCTGAGGGTCGTTGACCGTTCACAACATTCTTGCTTCCAAACCATGTAGATAGCAAGGCTGTGCTGGAGACAACAATAAAAGCTGAGATATTGCGACTTTGGCAGTACCATACTCACTCTATTTTTTCAATACCAATTTTGAGGAGGCTTCTATTCAAGAGGGACTTCTATTCGAGAGGGGCTTTTATTGTTTCTTTCCATACCTTGTAGGGGAGAGGGGGGGGGGGGCTATTATTCCAGAGGGGCTTTTATTCAAGAGGGGCTTCTAATCGAGTGAGTGCGGTAATTGTAGAAGGTGTTTGCTCCAAACGTTTGAAATGGCAATCTCTGCCAACTGACCGACACGGCTGACTTACACTTGACGAATAATCGAAGTCACAATATCTCAGTTCATACAATTTAGGATTATGCAGTTTGCCGTGCATATTCATCTCTGACCTTATCGGGTTAATTAAAACAAGGATGACCGTTTTAATTAATTAAGGTAGCTCGGGCCTATATCGCGAAAAATATCGGAGGTCAAGAACCACTTTCCGTCCGATTTTGTTCAAAATTTCAGGGTTGCAGCACCATGAAGGCAAGCTGTTAATCCCAAAATTTGGCTATTGTGTAATGAATCCTTCCCTATATTTGGGGCCTGTGAAAGACACACCCATATGTTCGCATTTAAGTCGCGAATTAAGAGAAAAACCTACTTTTACAAACCGGCGACGAAGGTTGGAAGCATTTTATTGTCTTCAATGTACACCTGGCTCTTTCTTAGAGAACGCCTTGTTAGGGCTACTTCGAGGGGCCATAACCCCTCCAATGTGCCCAATTACATACCCTGGTAATATTGATTTTCTCCTTCCGGACACCCATAGCATTGCAAAACAGGTGCTAAACTGGTGAAATTTCGGAAAAAGTATTTCGGCATGAGGAACCTTAATCACCATGGCTCAGTGAAATGTCCTTGCGTTCATGTTCTCGCGTTTCCCCAGGCAACTTCAAATTGTGGTTTGGTGAAGTATTACATGTCATTTTAATCTGGTTCGTTTTTAACGTGCGCAGCTGTGTTTCCTTCTTCTTGTTTTTCTTCTTCGTGGTGATTACTGAGCTATAGTGTAGCCGTCATTCAAGAAGAGACAATGACATGGGCCACAACCAGCTAAAACATGTCTTTGGGTGAAAAATTTCAAATTTTGTTTTCCTCCAGAAAACAGTTCTTGGGACCTTACTTGACCTCTTGAAGGTGATACAGGGCAGAAAAGTAGTCTACAACTGCCCCAAACACCGCTTTCAAAATTATGTACTTTGAAATAGAAAATGACAGTTTTCGCACAGTCTGACACAAAGAGACAAACTATTATTACTTAGTGGCTTTTGTGGCGGAGCACAATACAACGGAACTAAAGATGTTGACACCGACTTGAGCATGTCAAAGGCATGGCCCACGTTCTCCCTGGAAAGCAACACGATGCGCTGGGCGGCGTTGCACTTGCATACTCTTTCGATTCTGGCAGTGACACTTTCGATCGTCGCCTGCGTTTCCGAGACTGCGTCAGACGTCCCATGAGAGCTGAACGCAAGTAACGTCGTAAGGCAGCCGGTTCGCCGCCTTAATGATTATGTACTAGCCCACAACTTGTGCCTCTTCGCTACTGGAGACGACGGGGACGATTCAGCTTCGCTGTCGACATCAACATCAATGAGATCCCAACAAATTGTCAGCGTCGCTCTGCAGACCCGCCGCCACGGACTTGCAGACACCTGAATAAACCTGGGCCATGCACAGCGATCGTCTGGCCCTGCGAGCTGCTCTAGTATCACTAGATGCGGACATTGTCAGTCTTTGCTCGCCAGCTACTGGAGTTGAAGTAGAACGCCAAACAAGTGTTTGAACAAAATTTGAGAAGATGATCGCCACATCATGAATTTTTGAATGAAGTGCAGAGTGAACGCGCTCCAAAAAAACATTTTTTTCATTTCGTCATTTCCCAACTTTTTTACGAAACCCCAAAGACATGTTTTAGCTGATCGCGGCCCACATGTTGCGGTGTTCATGTTCTGCCCCCCTCCCCCTCCCCCTCCCTCCCCCCTCCCCCCCCCCTCCCGCCTACCTTCCCCAGGCCAGTTCCACACGACTGCCATGGCTCAGTGGAATTGACCTACAGTAAACCTGGGTTAGGTGGCCACCCCACGGCGCAAGCAAAAGCGGTCTCGTTAAAGCCAGGTGGTCTTTAGAACCAGGTCCCAAAGTGTTTGTGTAGAACTGCCCGTGCATGGAAAACCGGTGGTTAGGAGCAGGTGGTCGCTAAAACCAGAGGTGGCCTACACCAGCTTTTACTGTTTATTCATGTTTTCCTCTCCTTTCCACCAGGCCAATTCCACACGACTGCTATGCTCGTTGTCACTTCTGGGTGAAAAAGGGAATCCATACGATGGTGATGGAACTCACTGATCACTCTAGGGTGAGTGTAGACAACGCTCTCCGTGTGTGTGTGTGTGTGCGTGTGTGTGTGTGTGTGTGTGTGCGTGTGTGTGTTTGTGTGTGTGTGCGTGTGTGTGTGTGGGTGTGTGTGGGTGTGTGTGGGTGTGCTTTTTACTATTATTCACAAACTCAACTCGTAAAATAAATAATTATGTGGGCAAAAACAAACAGCTACTGAGTAGGGGCTGCACTGGGCAGCAGTGATGGTGAGGTGCCAGGGGCTCCACCGACCAAAGGTCTCAGCTTCAAGGCCACGTGTTGATCGCAGTCATAGCGACTGTGACTTTAGAGCTTTTCACCATGCTTTCTTGTCCTTTAGACATTACTGCTACCAGTTTGGCCAGTACTGCAAACCACCCAATATTCACGTCACCACATTTTCACACTGCATTTTCTCATTTTGACCAAGAATGTGTTCTTCGTATGGCGATGAAATTCCTGTATGGGTTGTGTGTTTTAACATCATTTCTCCACAGCAATTTCTTCTGGCAGCTAAGAAGCGCTCCATGGCAACTGGGACAGAGTTCCTAATATCAAAGACAGAAGGCCAGGAAATCACCAAGCATTCTGGTTCGTACCTCGGTAAACTAAGGTAGGGGCATTACGTTAAGGTTCGAGAGTGTGTTAGTGTGTGCGTGTTCATGTGTCCATGCTTGCGTGCGCGCACGAATGTGTGTGTGTGTGTGTGTGTCCATTTGTGTTATTGTGTGTGCGTACGTGCCTGTGTGTTATGTCTACTTGACTCCTACTCTAACTTGAGCCCGGTTTGTAGTGAAGCTAGTCGAAGAGAGAGGGATGGGTGAGATGAGAATTCGTCGGAATTCTGACAGCAGTGCTAGTGAAGGTTATATCAGTCGGATTATACCAAGTCCACCAAGAACGAGAGTGTCAGTGGTCCGGCTGCTAAAATAGTCATGCACTTTTAAGCCTTTTTTCGAAACTCCTATTGAATCTCTCTCCCCTCCCCTTATAAACGCCATGATCAGTTCCTGGCAGTTAGCTAGTCAAAGCTCAGTTAAGTACCATAAATTTTCTTCTGTTCATGATCCGCTAACTGTCGAAGGTTTTGCCTGCGAAGCGCCCTCCGCATAAGCAACCGAGTTTGGCATTGAACTGCAACTTACTTTGCTGCACACGATATGTGCCAGCACAGCATGAAAATGTGCACAATGCTGTACACGAAGTGTGATCTTCCGCATTGTTGTCTTCCGGATGCAGTCCGTGTCGTTGCCCCAGAACCATTAAATCCATTCACTGCGTGTCCTTGCAAACATATTTTGTACGTGATGAGTATATTGTGTGTGTGTATGTGCATCTGTGTATGCTTATCAGTATGTATGCATGACATTAAGTGTGTGTGTGTGTGTGTGTGTGTATGTGCATCTGTGTATGCTTATCAGTATGTATGCATGACATTAAGTGTGTGTGTGTGTGTGTGTGTGTGTGCACGCGTGTGTGTGTGCATGCATGTGAGTGTGTGTGCTTGCATGGTGTGTATTTGCGTGTGTTTGTGTGTATTTGCGTGTGTTTGTGTGCATGTGTCCACACATGTTGTATCTACATGGCGAATGTATGATGACTCAGGTGTAACTTAACTGGTACTGAGTTCACTCTGTATGATGACGGGACAAACCCACACAAGCTGGGACGGGCCTTTCCCGATTATTCCAACCTGAGAGAGGAGATACTGGGAATACACGTGGTAAGCTCATTAACAGTAATCTTCTGCAGTTCTAGCTAGTTGCCTGACTGCATAATATTGCACTGCTATGCAGAGCAGAGTTGCTGTTGGCTTGCCAAAGTCATCCCCCTACAGGGAAGAGGCTGCAACACAGGTTCGCACCGATGGGAAACTTTGTTTATTTATTTATTTATTTATTTCTGCACCTCGTGGCATGTCAGTTTTTTTTCTTGTTACGCCAAGTTTCATGCCAAAAGGGGCAATCAAAAAGGCACCGTGCTCATTACATAATTTAAAAAAACCCAGCACACTACTTGATGAATTAAAAAAGAACTATAGTTGTCGTTGTTGTATTGTTTTTCTGTTTGGTTTTTCTTGTCATGATTTTCTACAATTATTGTTTCCATTCACTTCTATGTAATTGAGCGACATTGCCCGTTTGGTTATGTGAGTTCAAATGAAGATGCACCGGTGTACCCACCTAGCAGGTGTCTGCTGCTTAGCCCTCTCTCTCTCTCTCTCTTGCCATGAACTCCGGAGTATGAATAGAGCGAAACCTGACGACCTGACGACCGCTCAACGGACCGTCAAACCATGGTCTTTGTTGCCATGTGGTCTCCTTATCCAGGGTCATTTCACTGGAAATAGCCTGCCTTTGTCCTGGGTTCAGTGGTCTTCTAGGGCAGGTGGTCGCCGTATCCGAGTGGTCGCCTTGACAGGTTTTGCTGTACAACATAGATCTAACTGAAAAAGTGCATGGCTGCATTTCTCTCACAGGTCATTTTCAGATTCATTTCGTTTTGCAAGATCTAATGTTGATGTATTGATAATCTAATAATGATCTAATGTCGATGTATTGATTTAATGATGATGTTGATGTAATGATAAGGTATTGCATGATGCAATGCATAATGAAAAGAAAAATGCAATATATTATGACTTGTAGTGCATGATGTAATACATGACGTAATACATGACGTAATACATGACGTAATACATGACGTAATACATGATGACTGATTGTAATACATGATGTAACATGATATAATACATTATGTAATACATGATGTAACATGATGTAATGTATGATGTAGTACATACAGCAGTTAAATGCATACAGAGCTGTATTTCTCACGGTCAAACTGGAACCTCATTTTCACTTGCAGAGTGTGGTTACATTGCGATTAGCAGCAGAATTCCGGAAAAGAAATCTTGAAATCTACTGATCAGCACATTGACACTCTTTGTGAGTCACTTGAGTAGATTTTGTTAAAATAGTGCCGGTACATTTTGAACTACAACAAACGTCCGAGAGGATTCGTTGCACAGCTTACAGACATCTTTGAACTGGGTTGCACCTTGAAAAAGGCTGGGCAGTCGACTGAATATTGAGCACAAGACGAGCACTTAAACTTGTGCAGTATTTGGCATGCAAGGTGTAATGTTGTCCCTGTAGTTTGAGCTTGAAGAGCCTCTATACGTTGTTGGCCTGGGAATTAGTCTTGCTGTACTGCTTCAAAGTGAAAATATCCAAAATCGATCATCGAACAAAGTTGTTTGTTCATAGTTTCGTTATGTACAATTTACGTTTGCCCAGTCATCACATGACGGTAATGAGGTCATGATGACGTCATTGGTATTATTGTCAATGCATCACTTGATCTGCGTGTTTGTCATACAGGGCAGGGCCATGCTAGGTCTGTCAGGTCCACGGCATCTCTCTATCATCATACCCCATCTCAATCAGAATGATGAAAGATTGAAAGTCCTCCCAAAAAAGGTATGCTGCGTTACTCCGCTCGAAGGGAAATCCCCGGATTAAGTTTCAAATTGCCGTTCAATACTTCAGACATCAGACTAGTTCCCTTTCACATCCTCGAAAATGTGCCAGTTCACGTGAGAGCTGAGTTAGACTGGGGCTTTCTGCATCGACGTGAGCACCCGCACCCTCTAGGATCAAGGCCGAGTACCATCTCCAGGTGTATAGGAAGGGGAATAAATCAGACCCACCACCAAAGTGGTCAAAGCCCGAAAATTGCACCACTCACTGCATGATTTCCTCACCAGAGTGTTTATTGGATCAAAACCTAGTCTGCCGTGATGCGACAGTCACACATACTCGGAATGTTCAAGATCATCCGCCGTTCTGAAGTTCAAATGTTTCAATTTGCGGCATCTGTTTTGATCCCTGACATCCCAGAAGATGCGGGTAAAGGCATACTTCACTGATCAAGCCGATCCTTCAGATTGTGCATCCAAACGCATATCATTCCAGGAAGTATGCTGTTCTGCCGTATCCATAGATGTTTGCTTGTACCCAAAGCTGTAGACAGCAAGCTGTTTCGGCCATAAAGGCCTCATCAGTACAGCTACGAGCTAAATAGGCCGAGCTACCAGCCATGGTGCAAAGGAGGCACCACAGACATTAAGGTAGCTCGTCGCTCTAGCGCCAGAGTGCTCAAACTACAAAATGTAGCGGGCATTGCGCGATGCAGCAGCACTAGAGCAGCCTACTGAGAGTGCTCAACAAGGCGAAGGCCGAGGAGCGTGATACCCAATGCTGTAGACAGCAAGCTGTTTCGGCCATAAAGGCCTCATCAGTACAGCTACGAGCTAAATAGGCCGAGATGTTTGCTTGTATATTTGTTTGTTTGCTTGCTTGCTTGTTTGTTTGTTTGTTTGTATGTTTGTTTGTATGTTTGTTTGTGTGTGATGCTTGTTTGTTTTATTTTTACTTCACCAGATTCATTCTCACCAGATACACAGGCATTTCCGTCTTCTCTCCTGAAGCTACACCTGCTGTTTCTGTTACTTATTGCCAGTCTGTTCATGAATGGTCTTGTCCACACTTATTGCCAGTCTGTTCATGAATGGTCTTCTCCACACTTATTGCCAGTCTGTTCATGGATGGTCTTCTTCATACTTATTGCCAGTCTGTTCATGGATGGTCTTCTCCATACTTATTGCCAGTCTGTTCATGGATGGTCTTCTCCATACTTATTGCCAGTCTGTTCATGGATGGTCTTCTTCATACTTATTGCCATTCTGTTCATGGATGGTCTTCTCCATACTTATTGCCAGTCTGTTCATGGATGGTCTTCTCCATACTTATTGCCAGTCTGTTCATGGATGGTCTTCTCCATACTTATTGCCAGTCTGTTCATGGATGGTCTTCTCCTTACTTGTTGCCAGTCTGTTCATGGATGGTCTTCTCCATACTTATTGCCAGTCTGTTCATGGATGGTCTTCTCCATACTTATTGCCAGTCTGTTCATGGATGGTCTTCTCCATACTTATTGCCAGTCTGTTCATGGATGGTCTTCTCCATACTTATTGCCAGTCTGTTCATGAATGGTCTTCTCCAGGAAAGTGAGACACTACTTGAGATGTTCAAATGTAAAACGCTGAATGAGAAGACGGTTACACTTCAAAATAAGGAGCCAGAGTGGAATGACCGTGAGTCTAGCAGCAACACGATTCTTTGCAAAACATTGCCTCTGTGTGTGTGTGTGTTTGTGTGTGCGTGCACATGTGTGTACGCGTGTGCATGTATGTGCATGCATGTGTGCGTGCAATTTTGTGTTTGTGTGTGTGTGTTCACACACTGCTGCGTTCCGAGTTGCCAAGTGCAGCTAGGTGCTACTAAAACTAGGAATGGCGGACCACGGATCGGCATACAGTGTCTGCAAGACTTTATTCGTAGATTGACTACGTATTTTTCTAGCATGATTACGTTCAGCGGAACCTCTCTATTGTGCTTCTCGTTGCTGATATGATATCTGCAGGATCGCAGACCTATGTGTTAAACTTCAACGGACGTCCCATAGTGCCGTCTTCGAAGAATTTTCAAATAGTTCACCCCAGAGACAGTAAGTGAATACCCATGTGTTGCTAGTGGATTGGGACAGGAAATGGAAAGGAAGTTTTCTATCCAACTGGTTTTTACGTATAGAATATAGGCTGAGTCCCGAGTGTTTACGGGAAATAAAAACCCGAGGCAAAAAAGCGAGGCGACACCGAGATTTTGTGCCGAGGGTGTTTTCCCGTAAACACGAGGGCAAAGCTTATATTCTATTTAAATTATAATATAAAAACCTCCAGTCAATTTCATAAAAAGTGGGTTTTAACACAAGCATCTGCATGCCGCACTCACACAACGAGCAACCAGTTTGGGGAATAGGAGGGTTTGTCAATTGCTTTGCCAGGCTCCGAGTGAGTGACAGCTTAGAGCTGTGTGAATGTGTGTGTATGGCAGCTGGGCAGGGCCCTGCTGCGGAGGCTGAGTGAGCCGTATGGAGGCAGCCGGGCAGGGCCCGGCTGCGGAGGCTGAGTGAGCCGTATTGAGAGGCTGAGTGAGCCGATGCTGAGTGAGCCGTCTGAGTGTGAGAGGCTGAATGAGCCGTATGAGGAGCCTGGTAAGCAAGGTTGACTCCCCAAATAGAGAACCTCCTATTCACTGTCAACTGTAGAGGGGGAGCCACAGATTGTGGACAATAGTAGAGTGATATTGAGTTACTGAGTGTACAGTCGGTACATAGGTGACATTCGGTTATGCTCTGGCACCCACAATAAGTGGGCTCAGTCTGTCTGATCAGCGCTCACCCAGGACCGGTGCTGCCAGCTTTCATGGCAGTTTGCATGTGGGCTTCCGTCACTCGGCTGTGCAAGGCACGGCCGAAGTCTCCCCAGGAATGGACGGAAGAGCACGCACGGGAGTGGGCATGTGAGCGGCGGTAGGGTGGCACGAATGGAATCGCTTGAAATCTTGCCTGGAGAGAGCGTCAGCAAGGATGTTGGTAGTTCCCGGTATGTGACGGGCGGTGACCATAAAGTTACCCTTGGCGCAGTGAAGAAGAGCTGCCGTAGGAGTGACATCACATTAGGGCAGCGACTGGTGCCAGACTTGAGAACAGCGGCAACAGCTTCGTTGTCGGTATGGAAGCGGATACGCTTGCGACACCACTGGTGGCCCCCTGTAGCACATGCAATGCAGATGGGATACAGCTCCTTGAACGTAATGCAGAGCGGAGTGTGTTGTGGGGACCAGGTGTCGGCGAACCAATGCGTGCCGTAAACTGCGCCATGCCCAATGGCGCCAGATGCGTCAGTTTCTATCAGGATGTCGCTGGCCAGCGTGTCCTGGAGATCGAGGAAGAATGACTTGCCATTCCAGTCATCGAGTAGGTGAGACCACCAAAGAAGGTCCAGATGACATTCTGGAGAGAGACGGATGCGGTGGTAGGGCTTGGAAACGTTGCGCGTGGCATCATACAGTCGGCGCATGAATGTACGGCCCGGCGTGATGACGCGGCTGGCAAAGTTCAGCTTGCCCAACAGCTGTTCAAGCTCCCGTAGACGGCAGGATTGGCGTTGGCGAAAGGCCAATAGTCTGGAGCGGATGTCGTCAACCTTGTCCTGTGGGAGACGAGCCACTTTCTGGACGGAGTCCAGTTCGATGCCCAGGCAGGTGAGACAGGAGGTTGGGCCGACTGTCTTTTCGTCGGCAATGGGAACTCCCAGGTAGCGGAATACGGAGAGGACTACGTTCAGACGCTGCGCACATAGCGTTGAGTTTGCGGGGCCACAGAGCCAGAAGTCGTCCAGAAGGTGCAGGAGGTGGGGAACCTGGAACAGTTCACAGCTTATCTGGCAAAGTGCGTCCGCAATGCAGTTAAACAAGTAGGGTGCGGATCTCAGGCCGAATGGCAGTACTTTGTCATAGTATAATTGGCCCTGCCACTGGAAACCCAACAAATGGTATGCAGTGGGTGCGACCGGGACCAGTCGAAATGCATTGCGTATGTCGAGCTTCGCCATCAAGGCACCGGTACCTTGACGTTGCAGACGCTCAATGGCATCGTCCACTGTGACATAATGTAGGGAGAACGAATCCTTGTTTATTCCATCATTGACAGACATACGGTCAGGGTAAGACAGGTGGTGAATGAGGCGGAATTTCCCGTTGTTCTTGGGCCCTACGCCGAGCGGAGAGCATACAAATGGGTGGAAAGGCTGGACCGAGAAAGGACCGGCCGATTCGTCACGTCGGACCCGGTCAGCAATTTGTTGTTGTACAAACTGAGCATGTTCAATGGCAGTTGGGAGGTTGCCAGAGATGATAGATACAGAAGCACCAGAGTGGCCAATGGGGAACCCGTGTTGCAAGCCATCAAGGATAAAGTCAGAGAGGACACGATTAGAAATACGAGGCAAAAGAGTCATTAGGCGGGCTATGTACAGAGGCGTGGGGAGACTACTTCGCTGCGACGGGCTTGTCCGTCTGGCGGGGTCCCCGGCGACCGTCGTTGGTGCAGCGAGTGGCGGGATGACCTCGGTCGCCGCAGGTTGAGCAGACGTGCAAGCGTTCACAGGGCTGGTGTTGGCATGGGCGGCCACGGTTGAAGTTGAGGCAGATCTGGCGGGTGCTGCCCGCCCCGGCCAGAAATGGCTGCGTAGGACGGCTGGTGTTGGTGCCAGCTGGAGCATGTGGCCCTGCCAAATACTGTGGGCAACGGTCACGGCTGTGGTGCGTTGTGCAGCGTGGACATGATGGTCGGGGTGCCCGGATCAGGTGCAGGCTCCAGAGGCTTTGGTCGATTGCGTCCCAACGAGCCGAGGTTGTTGCCACCGCTGCACGGAAGGCACGGTCATACCCCAGTACAGCTGGGGTCGCAAACTGCTGGTTGGCAGTACAGATAATGTGCTGGTACGTCACCAGCTCCAGTGCTCGGAATGGCACATGTTTCAGTGCGCAGGCCATGTAGATTGTGTAGGCTTCCAGCCAGGCAGTGAAGTCGACAATGGAGCGCTTCTTAGTCACACATAAATTGAGGGACACACGCCGGCCCTCTCCGTTGGCGGTACTGAGCTCCAAGGGCTCGGACCCTGCGCCCACATTCTCTGGGAGGAGATCCTCCAGCTCAATATATTCGCCGCGTGTGATTTTGTCAAGCAACTTACGCGGGACCGTGGGAACAATAGAGCTGGACTCACGAGTGTTCGTCATGGGCGCAGCGATCGGAGGCAGCGCGGGTTGCATGAGGGAAATGTCCATGGGGCCGGAGTCGACCTGCGGCGGGTGATGGGTGACGGTGTTGGACGCGGTTTGGACCATATCTGCCACTGAGGGGACCGCCGCCTGAGCATGGCCGTCCGGATCCTGGCGAGCTGAAATTCGCTCCTCAAGGCGCTCGAGCCAGCAGGGGGTGCAGGGCCGTCGACACGGCCGCCGTAACGGAACGCGGATTTAGGCCAGTTGTGAGTAAGCTGGCCGGCTGGAGAACGGCGGACGGGATATCGTCCTGCTCCACACGGGCATTGCCGGAACGATCCGCACGGGCATTGCCGGAACGATCGGCCGCATGGTCCGCAGGGGCTCGATTTGGAGTGTCGGCATACGGGGACGACGAGGCGCGCCTGCGACTGGAACGCCTGGGCCCGGGAGCCGACTGCTTACGTGCACGGGGCATCTCCGTGAGCTGTGGTAAACCTTGAGATTGAGGTTGAGAAAGAAATCCACTGCCAATGCGGACAAAGCAAGAACTGAAGTCAGGAACAGTGGACTTCGGAGAACAATGAGCGTGTGAGAGTTTGTTGGGAACAGAGCATGCGCCTTCTGTGTTTGCGCGTGCGCAAAAAATCATTTTATAGCACCAGGTTTTTTATACGAGTGATTACCAGAGATATTAACTGCTTTTTTCGAACACGCAAATGACTGGAGGTTTTAGACTAAAATTTAAACGTGTGTACATGACGCCATACCTGGTTTAAGCGACCAACTCACGGAATGGGAAAACCAACCCACGGAATGGGAAGACCAACCCACGGAATGGGAAGACCCTGCACTGTCACTTGTCACTTCTGTTGACTGCATGCACCTTTCTTCTGAGCGTATTTCAGCCCTGCATGCACCTTGTTTCTGAGCGTATTTCAGCCCTGCATGCACCTTGTTTCTGAGCGTATTTCAGCCCTGTTGAAGCCCAATGTGCCACTAGTAGTAGTACCAGTGAGAACAGCACCCTTGGTCGTCGTATGCAGGTCAGATAAAGTAGTTGATGTAGTGAAAATTGGTCGCTGGTCACCCATGTCAGGTGGTCCCTGTTTCCGGTTCAGTTTCTATCCAGAAGTGCCGGTGGGTGACAAGACGGCATTTGAGTATGTTTGTATAATTATTGTGTTTGTGTGTGTGTGTCCCTTTGTGTGTCAATGTGTTTGTTTGTGTGTGTGTGTGTGTGTGTGCGCCGTGTGTGTGTATGTGTGTGTGTCTGTGCATGTCCATGTGTCTGTCTGTGTGCATGTGTATTCATGTGTGTGTGTGTCTATGTGTGTGTATTCATGTGTGTGTGTCTATGTGTGTGTCTATGTGTGTGTCCGTGTGTGTGTGTCTATGTGTGTGTCCGTGTGTGTGTGTCTATGTGCGCTTGTATTGTGCATGCGCGATAACTGTGCTCCCCACAGCTGACTACATCGTAATGCAGTTTGGCCGTGTGTCCGAAAAGCAGTACACGTTGGATTTCTGCTACCCATTCTGTCCGTTACAAGCCTTTGGTTTGGCTGTCAGTGGCTGTTTCAAGAACTTGGGAAACTAGACTCCACTCCAGGACACGGTAACCACTCCAGGACACAGTAACCACGAGACGAGTATATTTATCGTATCTCGTATATAGTGCAATGCAGTGAGGAGGCTATGATCTTTTCAGCATGTCTTCCATCTGCAAACCCCGTGCCTTTCAGCTGTGTGTGGATGGACCATGGGCGGTCTACGACATCACATATGCATTCACACACCCAGCTTGCACAGTATCAGTTGGCAATTGGGTGATAACTCCGTCAATAACAACATGTTATGGCGGCGATGAAAAGATCGCTGAGTACTGCTGTAAGAACTATCCTACAGATCAGAGCAATGAAGACTATTATTAATGAAGACACGGCCACACAACATAACGACTATGTCGAGTTTATAATAATTTTAATATTTAAAATTGACATTATGAAACATGGATATGGGACATGGTGTGGTTGTGCGCAGTAGAGGTATTGACATTATGAAACATGTATTCCATCATGCAGATTATCGCGTTACGCATTTCTCTGATTAAAACTCTTGCTCCGCGCTGCGTTCTTATCTCTTACCTATGTTGTATAACGCCTCTGCATAACTCATACTGGCTTCAAGCAGTTAAAACAGGTGTGAGGCAAGTATAGATCTGTCGGGTCAAGCTCTACCACCCAGGTTGTTTCAATTGTGTCGCAAATCACTGTCTAAGAATAAGCTATGAACCAAGACCATCTTCTTTAAAATTAATGTTAATTCTAAACAGACTAATGTAGAGGCTATCCACATTTCTTCAGGCCAAGTCAATAACAACACCAATATACCTCTCTATATTTCTACAACAAAATGTAAGCATCAAGGGGTAGTAGCCCTGAGCGGATTATGTTCGTTAATTGCTGAATTATCCTTTTCATGATGCCCAGATTAAGTAGCAGGGAGCGTGTAAAAGACATTTTACAAGTGTTGAACTGCCAGTGATTACGCTACATCTCGTTCTCTGCATTGATATTGTTGGATTTTCCCCAGGTCTTCACTCATTTCTTGAAGGGCTTCTCAGTCGAAGCACCTTCTTTGATCATTTTCCGCCGAAGAGGTATACTTATCGACGTAGTCAACATCAGACTAGCAGAACGGATTGTTTCCCTAACGAATGTTTCCATTACCTTCTCTTGAAATGTAGACACAGGGAATAGAAATGAACAGTGTTTGCAGTTTTGAGGAAAGAAAGAATTGAAATGTACAAAGGAGAACGAGCAGAGTGAACTGAACAAGTACCGTTAGTTGTTCATGATGTACAGGCAAGTTGATGTGTATGAAAAGTACACAGTTATCGTGCTCTTGCTGGATCATCAGCCAACGAATATGTTCAACAACATCATCACAGTTGAGCAACCCGACACACACACACACATACACACACACACACACACACACACACACACACACACACACACACACACACACACACACACACACACACACACACACACACACACACACATACATACACACACACACACACACACACACACACACACACACACACACACACACACACACACACACACGCGTACGCACTCACACACACACACACACACACACACACACACACACACACACACACACACACACATACACATAAACACACCACACACACCTCAGACCTCAGACCTCAGACCTCAGACATGCCCATCGCGGAAGCGATGATAGCGAACAGCTATGTTAGACATAGCAACACACACACACACATACACACACATCCACACACACGCACACACACATACACATACACACACACACGCGTACGCACTCACACATACACACATAAACCCACCCACAAACACATGCAACAACATATTATGCATACACCGAAAATACATAAAAAAATTCGTTTCCAGAGACAGTCCCCGAACGTAAAGCGAAAATGTAAACAATCATTTGACGGAGCAGGCAGAGAGCCGAGAGATCTTATCCTGGCTGCAATGGTCACCTTCAAGATGATTACCACCATTCCGAAGTCCATAGGGCATCACGTTTGGTTCTGTTGAACCTTCCCTGAAATATCCAGAAAAAAAAGAAAAGATGGAAATTATTGGAGGCGTATCCAATTTCATACGAAAATGTGTCAGCGCCGACGCAATCCACAGTCAAGTAAGCCAATTTAGTAACCGACATTTTCGTTCCCTTCTAATCATGGGTACATACAGAGAATAATGGAAAAATGCAAAACACAGGGATTTTTTCCATTATTCCCTGTATTTACCCATGATGAGAAGGGAACGAAAACGTTCGGTTACTAAATTGGCTTACTTGACTGTGTGGATTGCGTCGGTGCTGACACCTTTTCTTTCGAAAGTGGAAATCAGACCATAATAATTCGACAGTCAACAGTTACATGTTTTGACTTTTGTTTGCAAGCAATCCGCCGGAAACCTACCACACATCAAATGGGAACAAAACCATATTCGCTGTGACAGGAGAAAGTGGTAGAGTATAAATGTAAACACATTGAATCTTCTGGGAGGAACCATGATGTCCGAGAGGTATTCAACACCATTAACTCCATTACAACATCATCGTTCCGGCCAAATCAAGCATCCGTATCAATGCTGCTGATGGCACGACCCTGACGGAGAAGGAAGATGTATTGCTGCGGTGGTGTGAGTATGGTCAGCAGCTATTTGGGCAGCCGTCAGAAGATCAAGGGTGTTCGGACTCGGCGGAGAGTGGTGCGGAAGAACTGCCATCCCCACTGATTACCCCTGAGCCTGGGTCTCTCTTGGCTGAAGTTGAGCAAGCCATATTGTCCCTGAAGAAGAGGAAAGCCCCTGGACGTGATGGGATCGTGGTGGAACTGATTCAGCATGCATCCTCAGTTTGTGTTCTATTCCTACAAAAACTTAGTTTGGAGATTTGGCAAACAGGGAGATGGCCAAAAGCGTGGAAACGTCAAGAAATCGTCATGCTACCCAAAGCTGGATCAGCTAAGGAGTGTTCCAACTATCGGTCCATTGCTTTGATGTCACATGCAAGCAAGATCCTTCTGACAATAATCTTGAATCGTATGAAAAAGAAGATAGAGGCTGAGTTACCAAATGAGCAGGCTGGTTTTCGAGCTGGTCGCAATGCTGTAGATATGCTCTGTGTTCTGCAAATCATTATCGAAAAATCTCTTGAATGGCAGAATCCTACAAGTATATCCATTGTATTAACGATTATCGTAAGGCCTTTGACACAGGTAACCACTCACATCTTTTCGGTTGCCTTTTGGATTTTGGTTTCCCTCGCCACATAGTTTGTTTGCTCCAGAATCTTTACGCAGGGATGAGCGGAGTTATCAGATGGAATGGCTCGCATTCGCCGGAGTTCGCCATCAAGAAGGGTGTTCGGCAGGGCTGTATTTTGTCCCCACATCTATTTAGCCTGTACACTGAGAGTGTTATGTGTGTTGCTGATGTGGACAGTATCGGTGTGAGAATCGGAGGACGCCAGCTGTCGAACCTATGATATGCAGATGACACGGGATTGTGTGCACATCCATCAGAAGTGTCTACCCTCATCAATGCTGTTAATGACGCTGGAAGAGAGAAGGGCCTGTCACTGAATCTGTCCAAAACCAAGATCATGCATATCGGAAACTGTACTGCTGGTGCAAACGATACCGCTCCAATGCCACTTGTGGTCGGTGGAGAACGAATTGCAGAGGTGAGCAGTTTCAAGTATCTGGGGTCCTGGAAGACAACAAACGGTGATTGCAGCCTTGATATTCGGTCAAGAATTGCCATGGCGAAAGAGCGCATGCTGCAGTTCGTTGACATCTGGAAAGACCACAACATCTCCAGACAGCTGAAAATCCGGATAATGCATGCCCTTGTGTGGTCCGTCCTGCTGTATGGAGCTGAGAGTTGGACTCTCCGGAAGACAGATGAACGACGAATACAGGGAGCAGAAATGTGGTGCTACCGACGTCTGCTCAGAGTATCCTGGATGGAGAAGCGCACAAATGACAGTATCCTGGTGGAGTTGGGAGTACAGAGACAGCTGCTAGCCAGGGTCAAGATACGCAAACTGACCTATTTCGGGCACACATGCCGCCCATCTGGCTGTGAGCTTGTACGTGACGTGATGTTTGGTGTCGTGGATGGTAAGAGAAAGCGTGGATGTCCGAAGATTTCCTTTGCTGACAATATCGTTTCGTGGGCTGGTACGTCTCTGCTTGAGAATTGCCAGTTGGCATCTGACAGAGATGCCTGGCAGTCGCACTGTGCATCTACTGCTTACACAGCTGCATAATGCGGTTTATTATTTTATTTTATTTTAATAATTATAGCTATGAATAGGATGAAGGCCGCAGACATCACGCAACTACGTTACTTGTTCGACATGTATTTACTGTGTATTTTATTACAAAAATATTATTGAAAACCCATAATCGATTTTCTTGTTCCTATCATCAGTGGGAAAAATACGGAACTAAGGATACAACCAAAGAAACTGAAGTTAAGTACTAATAATCTACGTGGAGATAAAAGTTTAATAATAGCTATGAAAAGTATGAATGCCGCAGACATCACCACGCAACATGACAATTTGTTCAAGGTTTGGTTTTGTGTGTTTCCAACATCGATTTTCACGTTCCGATCATCAGTGGAAATACGGAACTAAAGAGATCAAGGTAAAAACAAAGGTTAAAAATCCAAAGAAGTGTGACACTTTGTTTTTCCCTTGATCTCTTTAGTTCCGTATTTCCACTGATGATCGGAACGTGAAAATCGATTTTGGAAACACACAAAACCAAACCTTGAACAAATTGTCATGTTGCGTGGCGATGTCTGCGTCATTCATACTTTTCATAGCTATTATTAAGTTAAGTACTGTAAATAGAAAGGTGTTAGAAATAACAACAAGATACGAGAGTTAGTGCAATAAAACTACTAGAGGAAACGCAAAAAGGTAACAAGATTACGTAACCAAAGGCGAGAAGGCGCTAAACGAAGTGTCAACCTACGAATACAACTTCAGTGCAACAACGTGCTCCTTCTGCTTACACAAAATAGGCTTATGAATACGTATACAAACTGCCTCAAGGACTTTCAACTGTTGGACATAACGCGCACGACACAGTACAGAAAAATGAGAGTCATCATACCCACTAAGACAGTCAGGACGAGATAACAAGTGTAGATACACAGCTGACTTCTTACGATCAACACATTCATCCGCCTCATCTCGCTCCTTCCCACCCGACTCCTCCTCGTCCATCTCATCATCCTCTTCCTCGTTCCGCTCGTCATTCTCACGATCATCATCACTACCATCATCTGCCTCGTCCTCTGTCTCCTCACCAACCATTTCGTCATCCAATTGCTCTTCCGTCCTCTGATCACCTGTCTCATCCTCCGTTTCTGTACAGACCACTTGTCTCGCATTTGCTAGCTGCTCGTCCCGTGAGTGGAGTTGTTCCTCCAGATCTGCTTCACTCACTGACTCAATGATCCTGCTCGACCTTCCTTCTTATTTTATTTTAATAATAATAATAATTTTAGAATTGCGATCAACAGAACGAGCTGAACCGACATTTTCACAAAGGCTTTTATTGTATTAAAAAAAAACGAGTGGATACGAAGGCAGTGAAGAACAGGGAAGAAAGAAAAAATGT